TGGTATTTGGAATGACTCTACAATACTAAATACAAAAGTGAAAGCACAACAACTCTTATTTGATTTTAAATATACAACATTAAAGAAAGCATTTCCACAGTGTTGGTTGGATAGATTAAGCTATGAATTTGAACAAGAATGTGATATTTCGAATATGATAGAAATAGAAACAGGGGATAAAGTGAATGTTTTTGTTATGAAAGTGAAAGATTACTATCGTTTGTTAATACGTAAAAAGTCAAAAGAACCAAATATCATTTACTTTGGGAATTTCTTTTTAGATTTGGATAATGACCTTGTTTGGAAGGATGTCTTTTTATTTAAATTAAAGCAAATTCGTAATAATAAAGTTAAACAATTTAATTTCAAGATGATTCATAGATTTATTGCCTCAAAAGAAAACTTATATAAATGGCAAATTGTTAATAATAATTTATGCAAATCTTGTGGACAAGTTGACTCAACTTTTCATTTTATGCTTTATTGCAAGGATGTGACTTTGTTTTGGAAAATAATATGTAATTTGATATTTAATCTATTCCAAATAGAAATAAAAATATACCATGAGATAATAGTTGTAGGTAAGGATATTGGAAACAAGAAATATTCACTTCCGAATATTATGCAATTTATAAATGTTACATTAAGAAGATTGTTAATGGTTCTGTTTACTACCCATATACCTTGTTTTTTAAATTCAAGTCGTTGCTAAGATTATTTTTAAGATATGAATGTGTTAGCAGAGAAAATAATACTAAGTTTGAAGAATTGTTGAATATACTTAATCTTTAGCCTATGTTATGTTTCACTCAATCATTGAATTATTAATGTACATATGTATTACTATTATGGAAATAAAAACCTTGCTTGAGGATCAGAGAAAAAAGGGAAAAAAATGCTCAATTTTATCAAGTAAAGAATTTTCATATTGGAGTCATAAAAACTCATGATTAAAGAATTGCGATGTACCTGTTTACATTTGATGGACTATCATGAAGTACATGTGCATCATTAGAGGTCAAAGAAAAGATGAACGAACCAAAATCATGGGTCAAAATGTTTATTTCGTTCTTCAATGTACTTTGGAAGAAATCCCCAAACGACACTAGTGAAATGCATGTCTTTGGCTTTGATATTGATGAATAATAAAAACTTTTGTTTGTTTTTGGATTTAGATATGAGTGTGCATGTAAAGTTGCATAGGTTGGGTCCAGCCGTTGATTGGAACTGGTGTTACAATGTAGATAAACTGTTGGAGAATTACAAGACAATGGAGCGAGGGGAGGGTGTCATATTATGTGCATTCTATGTTGCCTGGCCCTCTTCTATTTTCTATCTTTTACTATCTTTCACTGTTCATTTTCTCACGTTTTTGCTTTTCAATATGGGTAAGGAAGAGGAGGGGTATATTTGCATGAGCTCTTCCAATTCGCGTGTACATGTAATGTTACGCCACTGCGTATTGTATATTGAACTGTAGTTGCATATGTATTGGAATGAATGTACTTTGTAATTTTGTATGGTTTCTGATGTTCTCCGAATAAATAGGCTAATCCATAGTGTGTATATTGCAGAATGATTTGGAGGATGATTATGTTATCTTTGTAACCACTGGCATAGATGCGATGGAGTGGGGAATATTCCTCTTCCCTCTTGATAAGCAACATTTTAAACAGATCAGAGGAACAACAAAAAATGCAAAGAAAAGAAAGATAATAGGACCAGCACTCAAACTGAACAGGAAATATGCTATGCATCTGGTTGCGATGTACATATTGAATTTAATTGCTGAGGGAAAATAATACAAAGTGATAATATTTTTTGAACAGATGATTCTGCATTTATCGAAAAATCAAATACAAAAATATTCAAATAACAATGATAGTCTAATTATAATATAATTGATTTACATAAACGTGACAACTGAAATACACACACAAAAAAATGCATGTTTATAAATGAAAACTTGAAAGTATGGCGGTAAATCAAAGAATCAAGATATATGAAGAGGCCCACTATCATAAGCATTATAGCAGAGAGAGAGAGAGAGAGAGAGTTGGAGAGAGAGAGAGAGGGTGTGCATGTCAGGTGTGTGCAGTAAGTGTTCGATTCGTTTTGTTTATGAACTAGTCATCTTAAATTAATTAATATAAACGATTAAAATCGTTAAGACCTTATAATGTTTATGAATATTTGGATATTAAATGTTTTTAACTGACTCTTTGAAACAATTAATATTGTCAGGTAAAGCATGCCAAATATCTGAACCAGGGTGTTTTAACGATTTATAGACCATAATAATGTTTGGATTAGTCAAATGGAAGTCGGATGAGTGTCGTGTAGGATAAGAACGTATATTACTATATATTTCGAATATATCGAGTATATTTCGAACTGCTAATGGTAAAGTATTTATCTAAAATTGAGTTTGCAGTCAGTAAAATGTGACAATGCACTTTGAAGGCATTTGCAGTCTGAAACAAGAAATCAACTATCCCTTTAACGGGAAAATCAATAAAAAGAAAAATATATGTTCTTGGTGTGAATTAGTTTCACTTTCTACCTTATATATTTACATATATACATTTACATTATCATATTTCATTAATATCATATACTCATTGTTGAATCCACGGGGGTACAAAGGGGCAATTTCCCGACAAAAATCTGCCTTGCGTGTTCATATTGGCATACTCGTATGCCTCCTGGAGGGCGTTTCACAAAGCCTTAAATACAATTTGAATGAGAATGGGATTGTCATGCTTAGTTCAAACAATTTTTTGAAAGAGACATATGCAGCCAATGAACTTACTGTAATTTTGAAACGATTGTTAAACAATGTGGCCCAAAATAAATCTGTACATGGACGATTTACCAACCAGCATATGTACACAGTTTCAATGGTGCACTGTTAGCCATTTGTCATGATTTTAAAGGCCTTTTGTAATATCATGTGATTCTTTAGAAATTCAGATCAGTTACATCTAAATGCTGGGAAATGTATGTTAATATATATGAGATCGATAGATATATTATAGATATGCACAGGGGCGTACGCAGGGGGGGGGGGGGGAGGTTGGGGGTTCAATCCCCCCTTTGGTATTTTTATGTGTGTAAACCCCCCTAAAAAAAACCTAACCCCCCCCGCAAGATATATTATAGATATGCACAGGGGCGTACGCAGGGGGGGGGGGTTCAAAACCCCTCCTTTGGTATTTTTTATGTGTGTAAACCCCCCTAAAATATATATATATATATATATATATGCCCACGGCTAACCTAAAAAAGGTAAAAATCCTGCGTACGCCCCTGGATATGCATATAACTTCAATCAAACACTCGGCTTATTGTATGATATTTTTACATTTATATAAATCATTTAGCTGCAAATACAAACGTCGTACTTACAATGTTTGCTTGAAGGTCCCACTTGCAGGCCAACAAAAATGAACAGGTTAAATTCCAACAACATAATTTGAAAGATAATACTAATGTAGAACTTCCCTCAAAGCGAAAAGGGGCTCGAAAATGACTTTAAGTGAGAAAATAACGATCATTAATTGTTGAATCAACTTTTTCAGACCCTTGTACCGAATGGTCGTACGTTTTGGGCTGCGCAAAGATTCAATCAGTTTATTTTTGGCCAATACAAGAATTGGGTTATTGACGTAAACGAACTCTCATGTACCTTTTACAGCTCATGTTTGATATGTATGTTATTACCAAAGGAAACAAGAGTCAGTCAATCACTCAATAGTGTCTAGAAAGTAAACAGGTTTCCTTGCATAATTTGAATATTAGGACACTCCTAACGTATAGATTTCACGGAAAGGACACACGTAGCATGTTTATAATTCCTGCAAAGTTCTACAGAATTTGAAGTTGGCTGCAAATGTGACCTAGTACCTTTAAACTATCATAGACCACCATGGCATATAATGACTGTAAGACGGTGACGTTCAAATTCTTATTGGGAAATTCAATAAAAAAGAAAAATATAATTTTTTTCTTAGTGTGAATTTGTTTAACTTTCTACCTTGAAATATTTACATACACTGTCGCTCATAACGTTGGAATATTTTTTTCAATACATCCCCCCCCCCGGTCCCCATCATAAACAAATTCTCTGTATGGCCATGTATTATGGCTCAAGGCATGGGCACACAGAAGATTTTTTTTCTGCTGGGGACCGGGGGGAATGCAATAATTTATTGAAAATGTATTGCATTTTCTGTGTTTTTTTATTTATGGAAACTGCCCCCTACCCTAGCCCCCGCTGCGTACAGTCATGGTTCAGTTACAAAACAATGGCCTCGTAACTGTGAGGCCCCAGAATCAAAACCGTGTCGATGTGCTATATTAGTGCCCTTTTGTAGGGCATTAATCCTAATTACTGTCATTTATGACTTAAGGGCCCCTAATTGATAAGCATAGTAGCATACACATTCTTTAGCAGTCGCGCAAAACAAACACTGGCAAATTATTATTCAATAAAATCTGAGAATGTATACTATTGTCAAAATAATTCCATAAATTGGGGTAAAAATTAAATATTCCATCGTTGTGAGTGACAGTGTATATACATTTACATTTTCATATTTCATTTTTAAATCATATTATCTTTTTGGCGATGAAAGTGATAGATCCTCGGGGGTACAAAGGGGCAGGTGCCCAACAAAAAATATGCATTGCACATTGTACTTCAGAGCATCTTTTTAAAAATATATTCAAATCTTGATTCTCAATCATTATATGGCAAAAATATTTCACAACTCTCCACATGTGAGTGTCGTAAATGTTTAATTATCGACTGTCAACTATTGTACTTCTATTGCACTTCGAGGTGTCGTGGTCTAGTAAATAAGTTACCAGTCTGTGCATCTCGAGGTTCGAGTCCCGCCACGTCACTAATGACATTTGGTAAGACATTTATCTACATTTGCCACACTCGACCCAGGTGTGGTAAATGAGTAACTGGTAGGAAATAATTCATTGAAATGCTAAATCGCCATGATGGCAGTCATGCTAAAGCCGGGGTAATAATGGTTGAGCACCAGGACGGTCAGGTTCTTGGCAGACATGAGCGCAGTACAAGAACCAAACCGTTTGCTATCAATATTTCATTATCATTATTTATCATATTAATATAATCTTCGTAACTTTGGGTCATCCAACCGCACTATTGCTAACTGTAAATCTCCAGAATTACGTGAAGAAAGCCGTTATTGGCATGATTATGTTCGACACTCTTGACATTGAACGTGTGTAATGAAAGATGCCAAGGAAGCAAACAGAGCCAATTACAATATAACTTTAAGGAAATAGAGCTTATTGATAGAAGCAAACGCAAGCATGTGTGGAGTGAGAGAAACCATTCGACAACATGTACGATCTACTGTCAAGCGCAGTGTATTAAACTGGCCTCTCTCCTTAAGCCTCAGACCAACAATGTCATAGAGCCTTATCACTACGTGTCCGGTATTTTGATCAACACTCGCTACATACACCCTGTCCTGCTCGTCCACGGCGTGATACAGGTTGACACCGTGTGGAGATTGTAGATACCTCCCGGAATTCCCATTCCTGTCATAGACCGCCACCATCCTTGGGTATTTAGTTTTCCTGAAAGAACAATTTGTGACGATCAAACCCGACTTGGTTGCACATACCTGGTGAGCGATTTTGTTTGTTGTTGGCACAACGTGTTTGAGTGTTTTTCCCGAGGGGTCGTAGATGGAGACATTATTTGAATGTTGGGTCATGAGAATTTCATCTGATTGACTCCTACTCAATCGCAAATAATTTCCATTGCTTGTCACTTTAGTAGTAGATTCCCAAACGCCATGGGGAGAATACCTGTGTACCTTTGTATAACTTGTAGATACGCATAGAGTCATGTCACTTTGAAAGACAAGATCAAAACATTTCATATCGTGTGGAATGTTGGAATATTTCCTAGGTACATCTTCATCTGAATTAAAGATATTAATGTAATGTGCATAATAATATGTGATTGCCACTGAGTTATTAGTGTATTTTGTCATCGCCTCAAAATCTTCAGGTAGATCTACACACTTAATGACACAGACTTTCGGTTGACTTTTAGACTGTGGAACGGATAGCCCTGTTGTGATATCCTCTTCTGCAATCTGGGCTTCCTCCCCTATGGTTGCTGCAGAAGTGTCATCGGAAGCACCCTTCAGCATGTCATCCAGTGCAGCCTCAGCATCTGTTTCTGAGATATCCCCAAGGTCAAGACTGGTGTCATCTGCAGGCTTGAATCTCTGCTTATGTGCCTTCTCCCGTATGGTTGCTGCAGATGTTTGATCAATAACCTCCTTTAGCAATTCATCGATCCCTTCGCAAAGGAATGTGTGAGCAACAAGACTGTCCGCCTCAAGACATCCCAGTCTAGGTTTACCCACAAGATCTACCGAACTACAAATGCTCTTGATCATCTGTTCATCATTCGATTTGACAACGTTGAGGGCTTCATCAAAACTACGCTCCAGAGCATCGATTTTCTCAACGAGTGCACCTCGGTTATCTTCTAGTTGCTTGACCTTGGTATGACAGGCTTGGCTGACATCTTCACGTAGTAGCTGAAGAGCACTATGTGCTTCATGACGATGTGTCTCCACAGTCTGAATGTTCTTCTCCAGTTCTGATTGCTTTGCTGTACAACGATGGAGAAGACCACTCACCTGAATAACGAAAGTAGTAGGACAGCAAAACGAATGATTCTCACTTGAAGGTGAATTTCTGATCACATTCTTTAATCACCACTGTTAAGGCTCGTTCAGACCATGATATATTGAATTGGGTTTTACTGAACCAATAATCAGAGTACTTTTTAATAACATGCATTTATTTTGCCTAACACGTAATTTTACTAATAACCGGTCATTAGTACATACTTATGGCCGGTCATTATTTAACAAATAATACACATCATTTTGTTCGGGCATTAGCAAAAATTACCCACACTCGGTACCTTCGAAACAGTCCAAACATCCTCGACTATCGCATCGGACGTGTTAGACTGTTCCACAGGTACCTTGTTTGGGTAATTCTTACTATTAAAATGCCCTCATTGACGTGTATTATTTGTATAATATCACACGAGCTGACTGCCAATTAGCATATTTCACAAGACGGCATCACAAGTGAACTATTCTCTTAGGGAGTGATATTGGTGTCTCACGAAAGAAAAGTCGTTCCATAAAACCTATGTTATTGTGCTTGTCAGATAATTTTGTACCTTTTATCAGGGTTTTGTCACAGAATTTTCGGACTTGTGAACTCCTCACCCGATAGAAAATCCTGGATCCTACACAGTTGAGATCAGTGTTATAATTCATAATTATAATGAGCCTTTCAATGTATAATAAATATCGATGCTCCAATAGAATATTATTATAATCCTTTTCATGAAATGATTGAAAGGGTATGATTTATTTTGATAAAGTTTATATCTCCCCAGACCTCTTACAGATTTATCTCTATGATCAATACACTACAGTCTATCAAGAATAAATCAAATTGTCACGATAAGAGGTAAGGAAAAATTATTATAACTTCATTTGGCAACGGTGTACATTTGGGTAATCTGTAAATAATAATAATACATATTCGAACAAGATATTTAAGACGGTTCATGAATGATCTGCCGTTGGGCTACGTACCTTAACCTGCATTTCCTTTTCGAAGTCCTCATGTGATTGTATCTTGTGATCTCGATGATCGATGATGACGCACTTGAAACAGACGCGTATCTTACAATTCTGACAGAAAATATGTTTGTTCTCTTGTCTGTGGACGGAACATTTCTCGGAGGGGTAACCAGGTTTAGAATTTCCCTCAACGATATCCTGGATAGATACGATCTCATGACCTTCGAAGAACAGCTTCAGTTGTTTGTGGCCAACGCAGCATTGATCACACATGTATGCATCGCATGTACTGCAGAAAGCGATGGCCTCTACCTGGAGGTTGCAGACAGTGCACTTTTGCCGCATCTCCAGTATCGCACTGCCCCCTCCAGACCTGGCACGGTGGTCGTCCACGAGTCCGTTGACCGTTACATTGGGGAGGAGATCGTCGACCCGGTTTGAGGACAACTTCGTCACTGTCCTGCAGAGAGGGCAGACCATGTGATCAAGATCCTGGTGGGATAGGTCATATTTCCTGAGACAGGGTCGACAGAAGGTATGTCCGCAAGAGGTCAAGAGGGTTGCATCGTCGAAGATACCAAAACACAGTGGACATGTCAAGCCTTGTGAAGAGATCGGAACGTCCTCTTCTTCCTGCTTCTCGGCCATGGATGTGATGTGCGCACCGGTGACAAATTAGAGAAAGCAATTAAGCATATAGCTGCACTAAATCATGTATGTTTGAAGAGTTTATTGTTTACCTGAAGAATATATCTATATCTGCGATCTTGATGGTGATATAAAAATGATATCTGCAGGCCTTACTCGATATATGTTCTGATTATTACGGAATACGTGTACGTCACATTATAAACACAAGTTATCTACCCAAATGTTAACGTACACAACGTCAATGGTGCCTACGCTGCAAATAGGCGCTGCGCCCTGAATTGATGCTTTATTTGTAGTAGTACTGGTGGGTTTTCCCAGAGAGCGCCATTTTAACCTTTGACTTCGATCTCACCACGTCGATTATACTGCGTGCTATTGAAGTCATCTCATTTGTATGTAATAAACCAAAATTGTCCTTTCTACATACAGTAAATGTGCATCACAACCTTCAACAGTGGCGTACGTATCTTTATATAAATTGCTAACTAACTGGGACACAATAAGCAATGCCTAAGGTATCCTAGCTTGCTTTTAATTGCTTGCCTTTGGAAAGGCAATGGTGTCTGGTGTATACATGGGGGTATCTGCAGACCTCAATGTAGAGGGATAATGTATAAGCATTTACCCCTTAAACACAATATATATATATATATAAATCATAATCATTATCATTTTTTAATAAAATAAATTAAAATTTATTGTCATCGTGATTCTCTGGTATAGTTAAAAGCTTGAAGTCCATTATTATTTTGTTAAAAGAGAAAAATACAACATATAGACGGCGAGAGGGAGGATATTTCGGGAGTAACATAATTTAGAGTAACTTTGAAAAATCCAGCGATTTGTATCACGTTTTTATGTCCATACATATTGTGCTTTGTGAAAATCGGGATAACTCAATATAGTAGTTTCACCAAAGCAAAGGGTGTTTTTTCTTAAACGTATATTCATTTAAATCATGTGTAAAATTTACATTTATTATGTGTCTTTCTTTTGATATTTTATATGACGGATCCTTGTGGTATACCCCACAAATGTAAGGAAATTACCTATATAACAGCTTTTGCCTACTCTCGTGCTCGTCTCTTAACATTTGTTTACTATCATATTCTTACTTATACAAGCATATCAAATCTTTCACTTGGATCTAGCTGAAGCAGGCTGATTGTTATGGTACAAGACTCATCTGCCCCCGACTTATGAATGAATTAATGAGGGTTGAAAATTTATTACACTGTCATTCAATAAAATATTCTCATAATGTAACCAAATCTAATTCATAAGTCTTTGTAAAATTCTTCGAAACAAATTATTTGATTCATTTTACGAATAATTGTATTTCAAAAGTCAGAATGCGAACTGCATACATCAATAGTTGCCATGTAGGACAAACATTATTGATTGCCTTCCCTAAAAACGCATAATGTATGCATTTTCATGCACTCTGACTATTAGAATACACATATTAATTTCATATGAATGAACGATTTGTATTGAGGAACTTCATAGCGGAGATGTGTGCAATTACACCAGGTTATATTGCGAATATGGTCTATTAAATCTGGTGTCGCCAGTAGCGACATTTTCCCTACCTTTACAACAACAAAAAATCAAAACGGAGGACACTAATGTGTAATGTTGATATCAGCCAAGCAACCATAATTATTTAAGTTCCTTCCTCTTTTCATTATGGAAGGGGGAGGAAAAGAGATGGGAGTGGGGGAGTGAGAGAAATATATCAAGAGAGCGGGGAGAGAGGGATAGAGAGAGACAGAGAGAAAAAGAGAAGGAGAGAGAGTGAGAGAGAGAGGGATATATACATATATTTAGAGAGAGAAAAGGGAGGGAGGAAGAGAGAGGGAGGAGGAGAGAGAGAGAGAGAGAGAAAGTGAGAGAAGGGGTAGGGAGAGAGAAAAAAGGGAAGGAAGTGACGGAGGGAGAGAGACGGGTTATGAGAGAGGGGGAGAGAAAGGGAGAAAATGAGGGAGAGAGCGAGAGGGGGAGAGAAAAAGGCAGAGAGAGAGAGAGGAAGGGAAAGAGTGAGGGAGAGAAGGAGGGAAAAGAAAGTAGGGGATGGAGGGGAGAGAGGGAGATTGTGTGTGTGTGTGTATGTGTGTGTGTGGGTTTGTAAGACGTGTGAAACGGGGATAATCATATGTAAACATAAATTCATAGTGGAGATACACTGGCAACTGTGGATATCCCCAGTTGATAACTTTCTAATTGTTTGTTAATTTTGCTAAAAGTAACCCGAGAGGAGACTACTACCCATTTCCTGGAAGAGTTCCAAGATATCCACATTTTCATAGTAAGGCGCTACTTTGTGTATTATCTGAAATTTTAAGATTCTGGAAAAATGAACAGCACCTAGTAAACTCTCACATAAAAGCAGGAAGCTAAATTCTTGTTATTCTTTGACAAAATGTAATAAAATGTAATGTTATAAAAACACCTCAAATCCCAATATACCCAATTGCATAGTTAATTATAGTTAAAGATAAATATCCCCATTTGGCACGATTTACCTGTATGTTTGTGTGTGTGTGAAAGAGAATGGAAAGGGGGTATAGATAAAGGAAAAGAGGATAAAGGAGCTCCAGGATTTAGCAGAGTCCACATGAAGCATTTTGTGCAATGGGCATATTGGGGAGATGTATAAAATATATGGGTTTTATTTATCAATGGTAGCCACCTACACGCAATGTACTTATATCAAACAGTTAATACACATAATATGGGCAAAAATGTCGTTTTTGTGACAATCAAGTAATGAAGCTCGGGTTGCTATAACTGATAACTGAATTCAGACATTTTGTTAATTTGTGCGTTGTATATAAAAAAAAAAAATTCGTACAAAGAAGGGCACTTATTTACAAATTAAACACATATCAATTTAGGGGCTTAAAAAGTAAGAAAATATAATGAGTTCGTGAAACGTAACAATCTTCAATACAGCTCACATTGCTTTATTTGTGGGTCATTCCTAATTTAATTAAATTATTACATGAAATATATATACATTATGTGAAATGTATGTAAATATATATATATATATATATATATATAAGGCTGTGTCATAGGTCAGTAATATCCGTGTCACAGGTCAGTAGCTTGACCGCACATTCCTTATTACACGTTCACATATATCACATCAACTGAGTAAACACACTGACAGCACAACTCAAAAGCAAGGTAAAACACTTTGAATTTGCATAATCATTTCTAAGTTTATTCCGAAAGTATTTCTCGTACTAATCTTTGCTATGTTCATGATGCTTGACTATGATTGAGTGATATTAAGTTTGTACACACTAAAAAATAATGGTACAAATTTGCACCCTATAGGGTGCAGATCGCTGCTACAATAGCAGCCACCTATATGGTGCAATTTTGCAGATTTGCACCCTTAGAAGTGCAAAAGAGCACCTTTAGGGGTGCAAACGAGCACCCTAATGGGTGCAGACCGCTGCTACAATAGCAGCCATGTATTGCAGACTTGCACCCTATAGGTGGCTGCTATTGTAGCAGCGATCTGCACCCCAAATGTACCCCTATTTCTTAGTGTGTATGCCATGTATATTTGTTCAGACAATGTATTTGTTTTTGTATGTGTTTGCACTTCAGAACCTGAAGAAGGCCTCACAAGCCGACAGCTCGTAATAAAATTGTAAAGTACAGCTACGTCCCACGTTCCTAGACCATTTTCTTCACGCATATATATATATATGAGATAGATATTTATACAGATATGCATATAATTTCAATCAAACACTCGGTTTATTGTAAGATATTTTTACATGTATACATCTCCTTCAGCTGCCTATACAAAGGTCATATTTGTATCTGTTTGCTTACACTTGCATACACCATCATGGCATGACTGTCAGACGGTGACGGTAACATTCTTACCGGGAACATTCAATACAAACACAAATATATATTCTTGGTGTGAATTTGTTTCATTTTCGACCTCATTTATTTACACACAAACATTTACATTATCATATTTGATTTTCTACCTCATGTATTTACACACATACGTTTACATAATATTGTATTTATTTTATTTTAAATATCATATTGTCTTGTTTGCAATGGAAGTGCTAGATCCACGGGGGGGGGGGGTACAAAGGGGCAGGTGCCCATCAAAAATATGCCATGCGTGTTCCTCCGGGCATATCCGTATGCCTCCTGGCACACATGTACTTCAGAACATTTTTAAAAAATATATTCAAATCTTGATTCTCAATCATTATATGGCAAAAGTATTTCACAACTCTCCACGTGTGAGTGTCAACTATTGTACTTCTATTGCACTTCGAGGTGTCGTGGTCTAGTGGATAAGTTATCAGTCTGTGCATCTCTAGGTTCAAGTCCCGCCACGACACCAATGACATTTGTTAAGACTTATATCAAAATTTGCCTCTCTCGACCCAGGTGTGGTAAATGAGTACATGGTAGGAAATGATTACTTGAAATGCTAGAGCGCCATGATGGCAGCCATGCTAAAGCCGGGGTATTTAGGGTTGAGCACCAGGACGGTCAGGTTTGGCAGACATGAGCGCAGTACAAGAATCAACCTTTTGCTATCAATATTTCATTATTATCATTTATCATATTGATATAATCTTCGTGAGTTTAGGTCATCCAACCACAATATTACTAACTGTATATCTCAAGAATTAGGTGAAGAAAGTTGCTGTTGGCATGATTATGTTCGACACTCTTGACATTGAACGTGTGTACTGAAAGATGCCAAGGAAGCAAACAGAACCAATTACAATATAACTTTAAGGAAATAGAGCTTATTAATAGAAGCAAACGCAAGCATGTGTGGAGTGAGAGAAACCATTTGACAAAATGTACGATCTACTGTCAAGCGCAGTGTATTAAACTGGCCTCTCTCCTTAAGCCTCAGACCAACAATGTCATAGAGCCTGATTACTACGTTTCCGGTATTTTTACCAACACTCGCTACATACACTCTGTCCTGCTCGTCCAAGGCGGAATACAGGTTGAAACCAGGTGGAGCTCGTAGATACCTTCCGGTATTCCCATCCCTGTCATAGACCGCCACCATCGTTGGACTGTCATCTTGATTGCGATAAAAAGAACTTGTGACTATCAAACCCGACTTGGTTGCACATACCTGGTAAGCGATTTTGTCTGTTGTAATTGGCACCACGTGTTTGAGTGTGTTTCCCGAGGGGTCGTAGATGGAGACATTATTTGAAGATTGGGTCATGAGAATTTCATCTGATTGACTCCTACTCAACCGCAAATAATATCCATTGCTTGTCACATGGGTGGTAGATTTCCGATCGCCATTGGGGGAATACCTGTGTACCTTTGTATTACTTGTAGATACGCATAGAGTCATGTCACTTTGAAAGACAAGATCAAAACATTTCATATCGTGTGGAATGTTGGAATATTTCCTAGGTGCATCTTCATCTGAATTAAAGATATTAATGTAATGTGGATAAAAATATGTGATTGCCACTGAGTTATTAGTGTATTTTGTCATCGCTTCAAAATCTTCGCGTAGATCTACACACTTAATGATACAGAGTTTCGGTTGACTTTTGGACTGTTGTTCGGCAACGAATAACCCTGTCGTGAAGTCCTCATCTGCGAACTGGGACCTCTTCTCTTGGGCTTCCTCTCCTATGGTTGCTGCAGAAGTGTCATCGGAAGCGCCCTTCAGTATGCCATCCAGTGCAGCCTCACCATCTGTTTCTGAGATGTTCCAAGGTCAAAACTGGTGTCATCTGCAGGCTTGAATCTCTGCTTCTGTGTCTTCTCCCTTATGGTTGCTGCTGATGTTTGATCAATAACCTCTTTCAGCAAGCCATCGATCTCTTCGCAAAAGAATGTGTGAGCAACCAGACTGTCCGCCTCAAGACATCCGAGTCTGTCATTAGCCACCAGATCTACCGATCTACAAATTGTCTCGATCATATATTCGTCATTCGATTTCAGACCATTGAGGGCTTCATCAAAACTACGCTCCAGAACATCGATCTTCTCAACGAGTGCACATCGGTTGTCTTCTAGTTGTTTGACCTTGGTACGACAGGCTTGGCCGACATGTTCACGTAGTAGCTGAAGTGCAGTATGTGCCTCATTACGATGTGTCTCCACAGTCTGGATGTTCTTCTCCAGTTCTGATTTCTTTGTTTCACATCGATGGAGAAGATCACTCACCTGAAGAACGAAAGTATAGGGAAGGAAAACAAATGATTCTCACTTGAAGGTGAATTTCTGATCACATATTTAATCATCACTGTAAAGGCTCGTTCAGATATGACGTTATTAATTTATCGTATCAGGACAATTACCCCCTGGGCAATCACCCCCCGGCCAATTACCCCCGGAAAACTACCCCCGTAGGACGATTACCCCCGGAAAATTACCCCCCGGAGAATTACCCCCGAGGACAATTACCCCCAAAGGACAATTACCCCCCGGAAAATTACCCCCCGGAAAATTACCCCCCGAGGACAACTACCCCCCGCGGACAATTACCCCCCGAGGACAACTACCCAAGAAGACAACTACCCCCGGAGGACAATTACCCCCAAAGGACAATTACCCCCCGTAAAATTACCCCCCCGAAAATTACCCCCCGAGCACAACTACCCCCCATGGACACTACTGGGCATGGTGGCTCAGTGGTTAGAGCGCCCGCCTCATGAACGGGAGGTCGTGAGTACGTACCCCGGCTGAGTCATACCAAAGACTTATAACAATGGGACCTTCTGCCTTCTAGCTAGGCCCTCAGCATATTAGATTCGAGAAGGGTAGTAATAACATATTATGTTATGCAGGGCCCGCTGGAAGAGCAGTTTCATAACTGAAGTGGCTACCCTGGGTAAATAAAACGTAATTATTATTATTAGGTTGTCTGTCAACGACAGACCACCTATTGTTTTTATTATTATTATTACCCTCGAGGACAACTATCCCTCAGGAAAACTACCCCGAAGACAATTACCCCCGAGGACAACTACCCCTCCCCCTTCGAGGACAACTTCTTCCCCCCCCCCCCCCTCCCTCCGAGTACAATAACCCCCAATGACAATCACCCCCGAGGAATTTATAACACTGTGACGTATAACGCAAGCTTCTCTTCAAATTGCTATTTACAGAAAATTGCATAAACCTTCATTTTCTTTGTTATTTATGAGGTTCATTTCAGTCTTTTCAAATTATTCAATTCGATATGGGGGGGGGGGGGGGGGGGGGGAGGTTGCCCAATTCCCCTGTAGTTTTGCTACCGAGTAAAGAACAGAAATTACATTTCTTAGAAATTGAACAATACATTGCGCGCAGATGAGTACGCGTTACAGCTTCTCTCACCATCAATGGCACAACAAAGAAATTAGGATGCAAGATTTCCTTTATGCATCCTCTGTAACTTTTTTAATCAGCTGATCGTGTATTTGTCTTTGTATGTATCCATGCCATGATCCATAATTAAGGTTTTCTTCACGTTATCTATTATTTATGTTGTATAATATGTTTTCGTGTACTTAAAATTATTTTGAAATAGAAATTGCATTCAAGTTATATGTACGGTGCCATGTCAAAAGAAAATAAATATCCACTCTCTGGTAATTCCTCTCACTTGATTTTGTAACGCCAGCACAGTGTTTTTCAACCGGGGTGCCGCAAGAGAATGATTTGGAAAACGTTGATTTTGTAAAAAAAAATCAAATACCAGAAACGGTTAAAATATGTAATTACATGAGAAAATAAAATTGTGAAGATACTAAGTGTCTTCCTTCCTCGCTCGCTGACAATATTTGTTGACATCAACGCAAATAAGGGCAACGAGAGGCCCGAATATCCTCAAATTCGTGTATCAAGATCATGACCGAATATATCACTTTTTATTTATGTACATTTGGCGGCAAGGTGCCCGCATACAGTACTTTAAATAGTTTCTAGTGTGTGTATTACAAACTAATTTGTTCCCAGTTTTAAAATGTCTTCTCCTTTTTATTCTTAAATGTAACCATACGTGTGTGCATAGCACTTGACGAGAGCCAGAGTCATGCAAAATTAATAATCTGTAAAGACTTTGGGATTTGGGAGAAACTTTTCATTTCTTAAGAAGGTACCGTGACTAACAAAGAGTTACAATAACGCTGCTTCAGAGAAATGTATTTATATGCATTTTGAAAAGCGCTGGACAATTACCTAAAACTTACATCCTTCGTGGAAATTAGCCACCGCACTGGGGTTGCATAAATTATAATAAAAGGGAAATGTGTAGTAATGAGGAAGACAACATGATATAGTATTTGAAAGAATATGGGTTCATGCAGGGGTTCTTATGGGCGCGTAGCCATCTCTCAATGTGTCAGATCGTCTTTTGCTATTGAATCCTGATTGTCCACGGGGAGTAATTGTCATCGGAGGAATTGTCCTCGGGGGGTAATTATCATCGGGGGGTAGTTGTCCCCGGGGGGTAATTGTCCTCGGGGGGTAACTGTCCTCGGGGGGTAATTGTCCTCAGGGGGTAATTGTCCTCGGGGGGTAATTCTCCGGGGGTAATTTTCCGGGGGGTAATTGTCCTTGGGGGGTAGTTGTCCTCGGGGGGTGATTCTCCGGGGGGTAATATTCCGGGGGGTAATTGTCCTTTGGGGGTAGTTTTCCGGGGGGTAATTTTCCGGGGGGTGATTGCCCAGGGGGGTAATTTTCCTAGAACCAATTTATTGCTTTATTAGATTAGTTCATCTATTTATTTTATCTGAACAGGGTTGATCCGTCAGTAACGAAACTAGCACTTGGTATTATTGGTGAATTACAAAATAGAGGGAGACAGAGACGAGGGTCCTAACCGAATAAACCTACTTATATTTGTGTATGTGTGTTAATAAATCCACAGGTGAACGAGCGTGTAAAGTTCCAACAATACACGTCATCTTCGATGTCCTCAAATTGATTTGAATTGAATTAATTTCCCCGTTTGAACACAGTCACAGAGTATGTACAAAAGTAAAAGTATAACAAGTACACAAGCATGAAAAACATGCAAATTAAAATTAAAAGCTGATCTTACACTGATCTTTAACGGGATTTTTCGGAAGAAATTTCAACATTGGTAACAGACAAAAAAGTCCAGCGAAAAATCCCGTGAAAAATCTCGATAACAGAGAATCTTCTTGGTTCGTGGTTGGATTTTTTGCGGGATAATTGATGACAGACAGCCAATTATCTAGATAATTATTATCTAGATAGCTTTTTTCTAGATAATTGTCCTCTGTCTGACACCGCCTCATAATATATATTGAAAATTTACTGCACAGACATCTGCAAAGTTTGCGCAAACCTTGATATATTGATTTTTTTAATATACCCCAGTTACACCACCAAACCGTCTCTATACCGACTCCCAAAATAGGTTCTTAGCCATTTGGGGGAGATTGTTCGGTCTTTTGTCGGTCTGAGTTTGGTCTCGTTGGTGTGACTGCATGGGGTATGTTATCGCTAAGCCAAGGAGGGGCATATGGAAACGTTTGCTTGTATTTGTCTCATAAAAGAAGTTATTCCAAACTGACTACCACACGGTGTTGAGTGCTCAGGGGTCACACACTATGAATATGACATACAAAGAAAGCGGACAAAATATACAGTTCCTCAGGTAGACAAAGGAACATCCCTTCACTGCTATTATGTAAAAATGTGTAGAACAGGTGTCACATGCATATTCACCTTTTTACATAATAGCAGTGAAGGGATGTTCCTTTGTCTACCCGAGGAACTGTATATTTTGTCCGCTTTCTTTGTCGTCATGTTCACAGTGACAGGCCACTGGCTTCATCGGGCAGGTAGTTCCATTATGTGAATGGGTAAATTAACTATTACAAAATGAGGGGACACATTACATTGTACAATAGGGACACACATTGTTTTTATTGTGCAGAACATACTCTTTTATTGACTTACTTATTGCATGAAACTATAAAACCAAAATGCATTTTGTATTCTAACAATTGGAGTACAGAGAATAATAACAGGTGAATGAAATGCATAAACACCACAAACACCTGGGGACGAAGCATTCATAAATTTGAATACAAAGTTGATAAACGACTCCGATGAAATTATAAAACCAAAATGAAATTTGCGTTCTGGCAATTGAAGTACAAAAAATGATAGCAGGTGAATGAAATGCTTCAACAACACAAACACCTGGGAAGCTAGGAAGCATCCATAAATTTGAATAATTTAGTTGATAAACGACTCCGCATGCGGACGTTTGTTGGAGCAAAAAGCAGTGGATTATTAACAACACGAACCCATTTAACAAAAATTAAAGTCGGAACGTAAATTAAATTTGGCGCGGTTGGAAAATGCATCTTTCTACCCTGCGACTTTAATGGTACGATCCAGTAAATTAAAACAGTAAAATGGCTCTTATTTTAAAATGACTCATTAAATAAAACCCAAAACTTCAGTGATATCAGAAAAAATATGTTATATCTTACTAATAATTAAAAAAGATGTATAAACATTGTAAAAGTGTCGCATTTTACGATAAAAGACACCGATTTAGCGAAGATGACGTCATTAGTGCGCTTTCATCAGGAAATTCAAGGTCAAAAGGTCAATTCAGACGCTGATAAGTTATTGGTCGAGCCTTTTTGTTTCCTTTATTCCGACAAAATTATACAATCAATCAAAACAAGTTTAATACCAGAAGAAAGCTAACGATTATTATTTTCATTAACCGCTTGCCCCGAAGTCGCTTGACCACAGTGAAACGAGTGAGAGCTGGCGAGAGCGGCCAAAGTGTGATTGAAACTCGCTATTTGCTCTTCTCCAACGCAAAAAGATACGACATTGTGCTGGATAAATGTATTTTTTTCCGACAAAAGTACAGAAAATTTGCATATGGTCTTTTTATATTATACTTTAAGAAATGTTACCCGAGTGACTCCCGGGCGCCCTAATGCTGGAAAGAAACGCACATTTTAGAAAACTTCACTTTTTCATGGAAAAATGCTTATTTGTTCTATGCACGCAAGTCAGATTGAGCGGATGATACAACGTTTCCATATGGGGGGGGGGGGGGGGGGGGCTGGAGAGGCATTACGTGACAACCTATTATGTTATTGTGCTTGTCAGAGAATGTTGTAGTAATTATAAGGGTTTATGCGACCCCCCCCCCAACCCACCGCTAGAGAATCCTGGACTCAGTTGATAATAACGTTGTAATTGATAATTATAATTAGCCTTTTAATGGATAATAAATATCGATGTCCCGATAGAACAGGCCTATAGTAGGGTGATCATACTGCCTGTGCAAACAGTCTGCCCCGCGAACACACACACACAACAGCAGTCAGTTGGTAGAAATAGCAATTTTTGTAAATGTATTTAAAAAAAACTAAACAATATTTTTAAAATTTTATTTCACATATATTTCAAGCATACCTTTAACTACAATTCTATGTAGTTTCATTGTTATAGACATGTGGGAAATATGTTAATTATTGAATTAGAATATTGTCTTTTCAGCCATTGTGTGACATGGCCCGCTGATCGCCCATTGACTCGCGCTGCTATTCTGCGTGGTTAAAAAAATGCACCTCAATGTATTAAACTCCCCTACAAAAATGCAATATCCTCATGTGTTTCACTCATCAAATCAATTTGTTATTTACACATAGGGTAGCCACAACTATACTGGGATTACCAAACTTTGTTTTTCTCTAAAATTCAGTGTTTGTGGAATGTTGTGGTCTGTTGAATGGTTTCTCTGAAAATCGTCATAAATCCTCAAATCTGACATTTTTTTAAAAAGAAAAATATACTGTGATGTAGCTGAAAGTTTACAAATTCTTATCATATGATCGGTTTTTTTGAATAATTTGTGAAAAACATGAGGAAATAGCTGTGACGGTGATCCAAGTAATTTCCATCGCCATATTGTATTGGCATTGCAAAAAAAAAGGTAAATATTTGGTGTCAATATGATCTATGAATATATGATTTTAAAAATGCCCCAAAAATGAACAGTTTGACTTTCCTAATTTGCATAATGAGTGCGCTTATATATAATTAGCTGAAATGACCTAATTTGCATATTTGATGAATATTTATGACTTTATTGTATTTCAAATGAAATATTTCTCCATACCTGTCTGATATACATAAGTTTCACTGATGTATCATGTTCGGTTTTGATTTGATTACATATGCGCATATTAATTACGCGGACTTAGTTATTTTCACAACTTTTTTATATCTGCAGATTCGCAAAAATGGCAAAAATGACTTATTTTGTTGGCTTCTGTTTTCAAAACGGTAATAGATATATGAATTTTCTTTTTTGTATTATTTACCACAAAGATGATTTTTTAGTGTCTGATAATTTAATTTATTATTTGTGTCCAAGAAAGTGATGAATTAAGTTGTCAACTTTGTCGAATTAGGCAATTTTTGACAATTTGACAATTTCTGGCAGGTTTTTCGGTAATTTTGCGATATAAAAAAATGGTATAAAATCACAACGCATTGACCAATTTCAATTCTGTTTTTTTGTTTGTTGAAGCTTTCATGAAGCTTGACCCTTTGCAACCATCAAATAACATGTGTTTGTTGTAATTATTTTTGGTGTGCTATACCTACCTATAGATTGCTATCTTAACCCTATTTACGGTCAACAGATTTTCACAAATATGACAGAAAGATTAAAGGTACTGTGGTATAGGTACTAGAACTTCTAGAAGGTACAGGTTTCGAATCCCTGCAACGGCACTCATATTCTTAGTTTAGCAAGACATTAATCAACATTTGTTGCACCCATTCCAGGTGTGGTAACTGGTAGGATTTATTCCGTGAAGGCACTTGGCTTTACGGTTGCTGAAGCTATAGCCCCGCCCCCCCCCCCCAACTCCGTGAACGGAGGGATACCATGCGTGTTACCAAAATGTCCGGTTAAGGGGTACTTTTCACGCACCAAAGTCCGGCTCGTACACAAAAAAGAATTTACACCGGACTTAGGAGGTGTTTTCAAAAGGAGGGAACATGCATATGCGTAACCTAAATAACACTGAGTGGAGGGGCCGGGGCTATAGCCAATGAGGGTAAAAATATCAAAATCCTTTGGAAGCGCAAAAATACGTCATATCCTATTTGTGAAATGCGCGCTTTACTAGTACGGATTATTATCATTATTATTAAGGATGGATACATTATGGAGCATGGTTTTAGACAACATAGACCATTGCCCATGTAGGTGGAATATTTTGTTCTGATTATTTTCATAAATAAATCGTATTGTCACGATAAGAGGTAAGACACAATTATTATAACTTCATTTAGCAACGGTGTACATTTGGGTAATATGTAAATTCGAACGAGATATTTAAGACGGTTCATGAATGACCTGCCACTGGACTACGTACCTTAACCTGCATTTCTTTTTCGAAGTCCTGATGTGATTTTATTTTGTGATCTCGATGATCAATGATGACGCACTTGAAACAGACGCGTATCTTACAATCCTGACAGAAAATATATTTGTTCTCTTGTCTGTGGACGGAACATTTCTCGTAGCGACTACCAGGTTTACAATTTCCCTCAACGATATCATGGATAGATACGATCTCATGACCTTCGAAGAACAGCTTCTGTTGTTCGTGGCCAACGCAGCATTGGTCACACATGTATGCATCGCACGTACTGCAGAAAGCGATGGCCTCTACCTGGAGGTTGCAGACAGTGCACCTTTGCCGCATCTCCAGGATGACACTGCCCCCTCCAGACCTGGCACGGTGGTCGTCCACTAGTCCGTTGACCGTCACATTGGGGAGGAGATCGTCGACCCGGTTTGAAGACAACTTCGTCACAGTCCTGCAGAGAGGGCAGACCATGTGATCAAGATCCTGGTGGGATAGGTCATATTTCCTGAGACAGGGTCGACAGAAGGTATGTCCGCAAGAGGTCAAGAGGGTTGCATCTTCGAAGATAACAAGACACAGTGGACATGTCAAGCCTTGTGAAGAGTTCGGAACGTCCCCTTCTTCCTGCTTCTCGGCCATGGATCTGGATTTGCGAATCGGTGACAAATTAGAGAAAGCAATTAAGCCTGCACTAAATCATAATTAAATGTTTTATGAAGAGTTTGTTGTATACCTGAAAAATATATGAATATCTGCGATCTTAATAGTGATATAAACATGATATATGCAGGCCCAATTCGATATACGTTCTGATTATTAGGGAATACGTGTACGTCACAATATAAACATGAGCTCTCTACCCAAATGTGAACGTACACAACGTCAATGCTGCCTATATACTCTGCAAATATAGGCGCTGCGCCCTGAATTGATGCTATATTTGTAGTAGTACTGGTGGGTTTTCCCAGAGAGCGCCATTTTAACCTTTGACTCGTCACGTCTATTAGATTGCGTGCTATTGTATTCATCTCATTCGTTTTTAATAAACAAAAATTGTCCTTTCTACATACAATATATGTGCATTACATCCTTCAACAGTGGCGTACGTATATACATTGATAACTAACTGGGACACAATAAGCAATGCGTAAGGTATCCTAGCTTGCTTTTGCTTGCCTTTGGAAAGGCAATAGTGTCTGGTGTATACATGGGGGTATCTGCAGACCTCAATGTATAGGGATAATGTATAAGCATTTACCCCTAAAACACATAATATATATATATATATATATATATATATATATATATATCATAATCATTATCATTTTTTAATAAAATAAATTAAAGTAATTGTCATTATCGTGATTCTCCGATATAGTTAAAAGCTTGAGGTTCATTATTATTTTGTTAAAAACGAAAATATAGCATATAGATGGTGAGACGGAGGATATTTCGGGAGTAACAGAGTTTTTATGTCCAAACATATTATGCTTCGTGAAAATCGGGATAACTCAATATAGTAGTTTCACCAAAGCAAAGGGTATTTTTTTCTTAAACGTATATTCATTTAAATCATGTGTAAATTTTACATTTATTATGTGTCTTTCTTTTGATATTTTACATGACGGATCCTTGTGGTACCCCATAAATGTAAGGGAAGTACCTATATAACAGCTTTTGGTTACTGTGGGGATAAACCCTTAACATTTGTTTACTATTATATTCTAATTTATACAGACATATCAAATCATTGAAAGAGATTCAACAAAGAGATAAAGAAGACGGGGAAGAGAGAAATAAAAGGAGATATATTGGTAAAGGGGATCGGGAGAAAGGAATAAGGAGAGAGATTTGGAATTGGAAAAAAGACAGGAGAATGAAAGGGGCGGGAGCTAGGGAAGAGAGAAAGAGAGAGAGAGAGAGAGAGAGAGATAAACAATTGTAGAAAAGAGGGATAGAGAAAGGGGTAGGAGGAAGGAAGGAGGAAGGAAGTTGAAGACATAGGGTACAAAGAAATAGAGAAGACGGAGGAAGTATCAGCTTCTCTTTTCATAGGGAGGAAGTATACACTAATTTTATTTGATGTATCATAATGTTCCTCATCATGGGACGTTATTGATTTTATGACACTGCATGAAACTCATAAGGTAATGATTTTCAGTAGAGGATATTTTCTTTAGTATATTTACAAGGATAAGAAGAGAGAGGGTGGGGATCGAGGGAGAAACAAGAGAGAGATGACAGAGTGAGAGGGGAATATTTGATATTAACAAATCTTTAATATACATGGATAAAGAGACGTAAACGTGTACTTCATTACAAATACATACAGATAAAGTAGAGGGAGAGGGAGAGAGCACGATAAAGAAATATCAGGCAGATGACAAAAGTGTTAAGGACAAGCAAGCTACGAGCCTGGGTTAACCAATTTATTTTAACTACATCGAAACAAACATTCACCTACTTCAAGTTCAATGTTATTAAAGTTACAAGGCATAACATTCGTTATCCGGCTGTTTCTTCAATCTATATAACATCAGTTAACATACACTATCAATTTTATACAAAATACAAAATCAGGAATAAATACAACACACAATATACATGAGTACAAAATGGTATAGATGAAGAAATTAATGGTAAAAATAAAGAAATTGATGGTATATATGCATTTTTGTCCATGAAAAAAACGAATGTTCCTTCTCATTTCATTCATTGGCATAAATGAATCACTATTAACCATTCTGCGGTTCTGCATTGCAGATTTGAACATTTGTTTTGCTAACTGGAGGCACAGGTATTTTCTAATTAACACGAAGTAATTCTGTAGATAGAAATGATATAGTATCACAATCAGCCCCATGTATAAACTTTCATTAAATGATCCTTCGTTCTTTTGAAAAGCAACTACAGGCTCGTTCTGAAGTTCCTCGATCGAGCATTAAATAATTGGAGGTCCAAAGTCCGTCATCGAATACAATGCCCTGTGTAACAATGAAGTTCTTTTGATTTTCCTGACTATGAAAATTTGTTTGTTGACATTTACTAGTCTGTATCCAACTCCGTGTCTGGCTACCCAGTGGGACAGACGATAATAATAATAATGGCGGATTTTAGTTCTGGTATAGTGGTATAGCGCCCATTCTCTGTGAAAGCCCGGACGCTCCCGGTTCTCCAACGTTTATCAGCGCCATAGTCATCTTCATTCAGTACGCGTAGATGCGCGTGTCACAACTATCTCTATCAAAACGCTTTGGTAACATGCATACAGTGGCCGGATCCAGGGGGGGGGGGCGGGCCCCCTCCACTGGGACGTTAAATTACCTTTTTTAATTTTATTTAGATGGCCCCCTCGCCTGACGCTCAAGGGGGGGGGGGAGAAGGGGGTTCAATTTTTCAAATTTTCGAGGCCCCCCCCCCCCCCAAAAAAAAAAAAAAAATTAGTGCTCACTACCCCCCCCCCCCCCGACTGAGCGAATTATCGGCCAGCTGTGTCGCTGTGTCACCGCTAAATATTTCTCACGAATTGGGCCCCTTCCCATGCCGCCGGCTGGATCCGCCCCTGCATGCATACCCAAGTCAAATGGAAGCAACAAACCCCAGATGAACTACAGATTGATCAAACAATCACATTACCGCTAATTTTTTGTTTAGAGTGAGTCGATTTAGAGTCTGTTTGGCGGTAATGACTGAGGTACACGTATCACAAAAACAATTTTCGCTATATTTCAACAAGTTCTAAATATTGATGGCTCTGATTATCCTGGTCTTTATACAGTGCGTCCCAGAAAACGAAACCGAGAATTATCGATGTTTTATCATAACTTAATCACAGAATTGATAAATGACACATATTTGTAAAGCTTAGATCCTCCTCTTTCATGTGATGCAACTCATATGATGCATATTTCACGCATGAGTGATTTAAAACATTTCGTGGAGAGGAAACTATAAAGTAATTTTTAGGGCGGTATCTGAATTTCAGAGAAAAAAAAAAATCACATTTCTAGAAAGTTCATTTTCTACCCTTTCATATAACTAATAGTCTAATTTTCAGACCATTGTATCAAATGGTCGGACGTTTTATGCTGCGCAAAGATTCAATCAGTTTATGTTTTGGCCATTACAAGAAGTGGGTTAATGATATAGACAAATGCTCATGTACCCTTTTCACACTTTTTATGTAAGTTAATTACCAAAGAAGAAAAGAGGCCAGTCAGTCACTCAATAGTGTCTGACAGTGAAGTGTAGCAAGTAAAGGGGTTTCCTTGCATAATTTGAATATTAGGACACTGCTAACGTTTAAACTTCACGGATAGGACATACATGACATATTCATAAATCCTGCCTAATTCTACATAATTTGATGTTGGCTGCAAAAGGGAAATAGTATCTTTAAGCCTGCTGATATCCCCATTCCTATAAGCCTATATAAGGCAAGGATATCTGAATAATCTGAATATTACGCGTTGCTTATCGTGTCTCTGTTAGTCAGATACGTACGCTACTTCAAATTCCAAGTTTATTTTTTTTCACATTTCACAAAAGAGAATTCACATTAGTGACAAAATTAGAACACAATACGAAATATACTAAAAGTATCACATTATATGATCAATTCTTGGTAAAGACGTCCAAAATAATTGTATCGAATATACAGGGTGAAATGTGAGGAACCTATTGAAGAGCTCAGCTCATCTAATACACATTGTCAATAACATGCATAGAATTAAGAGCGAAAGTTGGTTTCCTGAATACTAATGAGAAGCACATTATAGTGGAAATTCAACGTGATACGATCGACGTCAAAGGTCAAAGTGTTGACCTCTGGGAAAACCCACCAGTACTAGTACAAATTCAGGGCGCTGCGCTTATTTGCATAGTTGGTATCATAACCGGTGTATACTTTAGGCTTCATTGGGAAGAGAACTCGTTATTGTGACGTACATGTATTCTCTATTAATGAGTGCAGACATTGTGTTTATTTCAGCATCGTAGAGCTACATAATATACACTAAGTTTACAGCAAACTTTTCATAAAAGTGGATCTCGTTGAAATCATTTAAACGGGATTCTGTGCAGGCTTAATTGCTATCTCTAATTTGTACTCGATTCGCACATCACATCCATGGCCGAGAAACAGGAAGAAGAGGACGTTCCGATCTCTTCACAAGGCCTGACATGTCCACTGTGTCTTGGTATCTTCGACGATGCAACCCTCTTGACCTGCGGACATACCTTCTGTCGAACCTGTCTCAGGAAATACGACCTATCCCACCAGGATCTTGATCACATGGTCTGCCCTCTCTGCAGGACAGTGACAAAGTTGTCCGCAAACCGGGTCGACGATCTCTTTCCCAATGTGACGGTCAACGGACTCGTAGACGACTACCATGCCAGTTCTGGAGGGGCAAATGCCATCCTGAAGATGCGGCAAAAGTGCACTGTCTGCAAGATCCAGGTAGAGCCGATCGCTTTTTGCATTACATGCAATGTATCCATGTGTGACCAATGCCACGTTGGCCACAAACGATTGAAGCTGTTCTTCGAAGGTCATGAGATCGTATCTTTCCAGGACATAATTGAGGGAAAAGTTAAACCTGGTCGCCCTTCCGAGAAATGTTCCGCCCACAGACGAGAGAACAAAGATATGTTCTGTCAGGATTGTAAGATGCGCGTCTGTTTCAAGTGCGTCGTCATCGATCATCGAGATCACAAGATACAATCACATCAAGACTTTGAAAAGGAAATGCAGGATAAGGTACGTACCCTTAAAGATGCTTCAGATCTCATTCATCTTGTGATATCACATCATTAGGGAGCTAACAAGAGACCGTGGTATGTAACCACCCCCATCATTGCACATTCTCACAAAAGAACTGCATTCTTTCTTACATTACATTCACATTAACCTTTCTTTTCCTGGTGACGTCTGACATAGCATCTCATATGTTGGTATTGTAAACAGGTTATCAGCTCTGGTGAACCTACATACCATTGTCTCTTGACTAAAGATTGACAGATGATGTCACAAGATGAATGAGATCTGGAGCATTTTTGTAGGGTGGAGCTTAGCAGGTCTGAGAAAATTATTTTAAAAAATGTTTAAAAACCTTTGAAATATATTTAGATATGCTCCCCACTTTAAAGTGCCCCTTTTTACGTAGGAAGAGTGCCCCTATTACTTTATAAACGTGCCCATTTTGTTTTGATACGTGCCCCTCATATATGCTTTTGCAGTAAGTGTCCATTTCTCATAAGTGCCTTTTTTAATCAGGTGCCACATGTGCCCCTTTTCATTTTCGATAAGTGCCCCTGTCACCTCTGATAATTGCCCTATTAAAATATGAGAGGTGCCCTTTTTACATCTAAAACCTCTAATCTAAGACCTTACATTTGCATACTCTTATTTGACTATTTTATGTTGACAATTATGTAGCATTCATTTATATTTAGAATCATTGTTGTTAAGACCTTGAATTATTATACTTCCATATTGTGTATTACTATGATGTATTGTGTATTCTACTTGGTTATACTTTGTTATTTAACTACTTAATATGCTGTTTTTAATACCAGGTCTAAGATGCAAAATAGATTTACTTCTGATCTTGTGTACCTGAATAAATATGTTTGAATAAATAAATAAATAAATAAATAAATTTACTTTGACAAGTGCCCTTTCGAAGAGCCCCTTCCCACTTCTCATAAATTCCCATTTCCACCTATGAAAAGTGTCCCTTTCCATTCTCATAAGTGCCCCTTTTCATCATCTTTGGTAAATCACCCTTTTCAGGTACGAAAAGTTATCCTTTTCACTTCAGGTAAGTGCGCTCATCACCTCCAATAATTGCCCCTATTCAAATCTGAGAGATGCTCGTTTTACTTTGACAAGTGCCCCTTCACCTTTTAATAAGTGCTCTTTTCATCTCTGTCGAGTTCCCCTTTTCACCTCTTTTAACTGCCCCTTTTATTTTGGCACGTTCCCCTTTTTCTTTTTTATAAAATAAATGCTCCTTTTCCTTCTTAGAAGTACACCTTCACCTTTTCCTAAAGACCCCTTTCGCCTCTCATAAATGCTCCTATTAAAATCTGATCAGTCACCCTTTTCTTTCAACAAGGGGGAGGTGCCCCCCCCCCTCTGAAGCTGATTTTCTTTTTTGATTTTTGAAACTGGATTCGTGCGAGTTGGTTATTACTTTAGGCAAAATTAAATGAAAGCCTACGGTAAGCATTTTATCATAACCCAATGCATAATGTGGTGGGGGGGGGGATATATCCCCCACCCACCGGGATCTCCGCCTTTGATAACGAATGTTGATTAATGCCTTGCCAAAGAAAATTGGTGCGTGCACGCCAGTTGCGTACGCAGGATTATTTTTAAGGGGGGGGGGTTAACATTTTTAAAGCGGGCCGACAATTTAGCAAAGCCTCAGCCAGCCGCTGAGCGAGGGGGGGGGGGGGGAGAGGGCACATATTTTTTTGGCCCCAAAAATTTCGCAACGACTCAAAATGACTCAGGGGGGGGGTGGGTAAGGTCACTTTTTGGTGGTCACCCTTTGGCACAATTCTTTCTTCTTTTTTTTTTTTTTAAATTGAGAGGGGGGGGGGGTCATCAAAAATCACACACAAACACAAAACTGAGGGGGTGCACCCACCCCCCCCCCCCCCCCGCTGCGTACGCGCCTGGTGCACGCTAATTATTTGAACTTAGCTCAAGTTTGGGATTTATCTTGAAGTGGTTTCTTTTTACATTAAATAACGAGGATCTAGAAGTTTCGTTGTATAAAACAAATGATGCACGTTTCATTGCCTCAACTCGAATGCGGATAGATCGTATAACGAAAACGTTCGTATGTACCATTAATATAATTACTCCTAATTCCTGAACACATGTTGCTGGCAAAATACTATCTTATAAATGATATGAGGACATTCGAAAATAAAGTGCATTGTTGGAACTTTCACTGTTCAGTGTTATTTTACAAACAGATATAAGTAGGTTTATTCAGTTTGGATCCTCGTCGGCGTCTCTTTCTCCGGAGAAACCTTGTTCAGAAAAATGAAATAAATCCATAACTTGCAGATATTAATTATGTTACCTGTACTTCTTAAAGTGTAGTTTGACATATTGATAATGTTCTCTGCGCACACCCCCGCCCCCCACCCCCACTCAATGTTATTAAGGGTACGCGTATGCAGGCGCGGATCCAGGGGGACCGAGCGGGCCTTGCCCCCCCCCCCCCCCCGCAAACAAAAGAAAAAAAGAGAGAGAGAGAGAGAAGGAAAAGTAGGGAGAGGGAAAGAGGAGAGAAAGGGAAAGAAAGAAGAGGAAGAAGAAGAAGAGAAGGGGGAGGGAAAATATCTTCTATGAAGGGCCCTAAGGCGGGCCCCTAGATGCTTATCTGACGATAATTTAAGGCATGAAACCCTGAGATTCTCGGGGCTCCGCCCCATGGACCCCACGCCAATGCCAATGTCACAAATAAGGTATCAAGAATATGCTCATCTGACCGTAATTAAATGCCTATACCCCCTGAGCTTCAGGGGGCTCCGTCCCTCGCCCCCCGCTGGGGCTTTGCCCTAGACCCCACGCCAATTTACGCTACGCTCTACCTGATCGTAAATACCTTAGCCTCCCCCACTCACCTTGTAAAACGTTCAACAGGGCCTGCATATAAGAGTATGGGCGGCCGAGCGACTTCCGAAGTGGGGGGGGGGGGGGGGGGGGGGAGGGGGGCACCAATACAAAAGTGCACCTACAAAGGGAAATCTCAAAGCGAAAATATACCATTATATGCTAGAGGATCAACGTTTCTTTCACAATGCCTCGCATGACTAGAACTGGTCTATACCTTTAATGATGAGAGGAAAAGGGGACACTTATCAGGAAAGAAAAGAAGCATGCGCCAAAGTACAAAAAGTAATTATCATCATTACTTCTTACACCCTCCAAAAGAGGCACTCACCTGGGATGAAAAAAGTCAGTCATGAGAATAGGAAATGGGTATTTGTCGACGGAAAAGGGGCCCCCCACCAGATTTTGGTAGGGGATTTTCTAAGATATCCTTATCAGAGGTGAAAAGATGCACTTCTCGCATCTGAAAAGAGGCATAGAACAGAGAAGGGGCACTTATGAGAAGATAAAGGGGCTCTTTTTAATGGGAAACTTATCATTAAGAAAAGGAGCACTTATTAGAAACGAAAAAGGCACATGTGAAAATATAAGGTGCGCTTATCCGAGTTAAAATGGGGGTAGTCATAAAAGGGGAAGGGGCACTTCTTACAAAGAAAAAGGGGCCCTTGTCAAAGTAAAAGAGGCACGTACCTCTCAGATTTCAATAAGACAATTATCAGAGGTGAAGGGGGCACTTATCAAAAGTGAAAATAGGCACTTCTCGTACCTAACTAGGGGCACTTACTAGAGATTAAAAAGGGCACTAATGAGAATGGGAAAAAGACCCTTATTGCAAAGAAAAAAGGGGTACTTGTCGAAGGAAAAGGGGCACGTGTCCAAATAAAAGTGACACTTATCAGAGATGAAAAGGGGAAGAGGCACTTTTACAAATTAATAGGGGTACTTGTCAAAGTAAAAATGTTTAAAGGAGCACTTCTTAAACAAATTATGGGGCACTTTTCCTAAGTAAAAGGGGACAATCGGGTGCTTAAAAAAAGTGTGGGGGGCACTGTGCCCCCTACCCCAAGGGAGGCCCGCTCTGTGGGGGTTATGCGGATTTTTGTTTTGTTTTTGGCTCATTTGGCCCATTACGTATCAATATTTGGCTCGCATAATTTTAAATTCCTCCCCCCCCCAAAAAAAAAAAAAAAAAAAATCCTGGATCTGGACCTGCGCGTATGCATGTTCCCTCCCTTTCAAAGCAACCCATCTTAGTCCGGTGTGTAAAGTCAATACGGGTCGATTTTTTGTGTATTACGAGCCGGACTTTGCTGCGTGAAAATTACCGGAGATTTGGGGAACATGAAAGCGGTCCCTCCGTTCCCGGAGTGGGGGGGGGGGGGCAGGTTCTCTTGTCAGCTGCCATGGTGAGTGCACTATTTACGATTGGGGTTTTCCGGTAAATGAATGCAATTTATTCCATTGAACTTTATTTAAAAAAACTTCAAACCATTATCATTACCTTCCATTTTTTTCCATTTCTGTTCCCTTCGTTAATTCCTCTAAATGAGTACTAAGCAGGTCCTGTTGACGGAATAATTATAATTAACAGATTTTTCAGTTAGGATACCAGGTTGTGTTTCGGAAAGCCTAAAATTGTGAATATCAAAGGATTATGCCAAAAGGATGGGTAGCGTCCCCGGAAATTTGAAAATCGCGCCAGCCGATATTTCGCTCAACCCTCCCCCCCCCCCCTTTCAGCAAAAAAAGAGATAAATTTCTGGTCACAATAAAAAATTTAAAAAAAATGTTTTGTCAGGGGGAGGCGGACAAGGCCCGCTCCCCCCCCCCCCCCTCCCTTGAACCGGGCCTGGATTTCAGAATGTGATCAGAATTTCACATTCAAGGGAGAATCATTCTTTTTGCTTTCCTTCAACTTCCGTTCTTTAGGTGAGTGATCTTCTCCATCGTTGTAAAGCAAAGAAGTCAGACCTGGAGAAGAACATTCAGAATGTGGAGACACATCGTGATGAAGCACATACTGCGTTTCAGCTACTACGTCAAAATGTGGGCCTAGCCTGTCGTACCAAGGTCAAGCGACTAGAAGACAACCAACGTGTACTCATTGAGAAGATCGATGCTCTGGAACGTAGTTTTAATGAAGCCCTCAACGGTCTAAAGTCGAACGACCGGCAGATGATCAAGAGTATTTGTAGTTCGGTAGATCTGGTGGATAATGACAGACTGGGATGTCTCGAGACGGACAGTCTGTCTGCTCACACATTCCTGTGCGAAGAGATCGATGGGTTGCTAAAGGAGGTTATTGATCAAACCTCTGCAGCAACCATAAAGGAGAAGGCAAACAAGCAGAAGTTCAAGCCTGCAGATGACACCAGTCTTGACCTCGGGAATATCTCAGAAACAGTTCTAGGACAATTACCTCCTGGACAATCACCCTCCTGCCAATTACCAACGGCACGTTTTTTAAACCGCACCCGTCCCTAGGAGAATTACTCGCCTCCCCGAGGACAGGTACCCTCCCACTAACTCTACCTCCCGGTTGGGAAGCCTTTTCAAACATCCCCCCTCAGCTCCCCTTCCAGCCTGATCAACAAAATGTCATGAATATGGACCATAACCCGCCTCCCCTCCCGCTAGGGTAGCCCCTTGGGACATCCCACCACAGCTTCCCTTCCAGCCTGATCAACAAAATGTCATGAATATGGACCATAACCCGCCTCCCCCTCCCACTAGGGTAGCCCCTTGGGACATCCCCCCTCAGCTCCCCTTCCAGCCTGATCAACAAAATGCCATGAATATGGACAATTTCTCGCTTCCCCATCCCGGTTGGTAACCCCTTGGAACATTCCCCCTCAGCTCCCCTTCCAGCCTAATCAACAAAATGTCATGAATATGGACAATTACGCCACCTCCCCATCCTAGTAGCTTACCCCCGAGGACAAGTACCCTCCCCCACCTCCCCCTCCTTGAAGGTTACCCCGAGGGCAAGTATCCTCCCCACCTCCCTCTCCTAGTAGCTTACCCCCAAGGACAAGTAACCTCCCCCACTTCCTTCCCAAATAGGTTACACCCGAGGACAAGTACCCTCCCCCTACTCTCCCTCCTAGTAGGTTACCCCGATAACAAGTACCCTCCCCACCTCCCCCTCCTAGTAGGTTACCCCCGAGGACAAGTACCCTCCCCACCTCCCCCTCCTAGTAGGTTACCCCCGAGGACAAGTACCCTCCCCCACCTCCCCTCCAAGTAGGTTACCCCCGAGGACAAGTACCCTCCCCCACCCTCCCCTCCTAGTAGGTTACCCCCGAGGACCAGTACCCCCTCCCCCACCTCCCCCTCCGAGTAGGTTACCTCGATATCAAGTACCCTCCCCCACCTCCCCCTCCCAGTAGGTTACCCCCGAGGACAAGTACCCTCCCCCACCTCCCCTTCCAGTAGTTTACCCCCGAGGACAAGTATCCTCCCCACCTCCCCCTCCTAGTAGGTTATCCCCGAGGACAAGTACCCACCCCACCTTCCCATCCCAGTAGGTTACCCCCGAGGACAAGTATCCTCCCCACCTCCCCCTCCTAGTAGGTTACCCCGAGGGCAAACCTCCCCCACCTCCCCCTCCTAGTAGGTTACCCCCGAGGACATGTACCCGCCCCACCACCCCTCCTAGTAGGTTACCCCCGAGGACAACCGTCGGTTGCCCGGTAAAAGGTCGCTATGCGTGGGTGCTGGTAAAAAAGGGGGAACCGAGAAAAACGCGTTTGAAGTTTGAGCATCTACTTCGAGGGCTAAAAATGATAATGTTTCTATGTTCCAAGTACCCAAAACTATTCATAGAGAAGATATTAACCTGGTTTATTATGTTCTCAAAGTTTGTAAATATATCTTCCTTTTGCTAATACGTTTTGCTGGAAACAAAAAAGCCCGAACGTGCAACCGACGTACCTCCCCCAGCTCCGCCTCCTAGTAGGTTACCCCCGAGGTTATTAGGGACTTTTAGATTCGCACGAAGACAATGTGGATTGCTACGAGCGACGTGCTTCTAATACACTGCCTTGAATGGACGTCACACGTATCAGTCCACGCAAATCTAAAAGTCCCTAGTACCCGTGATAGACAACGGGAAGACTACTGAAATTGTACATTTTCGCGGGGCGGCAAATACAACCCCGTTTCGTTGGCATAATAATAATTACATGTAAAATAATATACAGAATCAAATTTGACATATTGCCGACATTCACACTTGCTCCCGAACTCAAAATTTAAAAAAACTTGCGAAATTGTACAATCGATTCACTGACAAGTCTGCTATTTACAGCGTGTGTTAAAGATATCATTACGCGCGCAATAGTGTGCGATAGCATTCGGGCTGCACGACCTCGTTCGCTGTTATTTTTTTGCACTGCATTGCACACGTGCAGAATCCATAATGGTAAGCATGGATAAGTCGTCGACATCATCGGGTTCCGACAACGAAAACGACATCGTAATTTTCTTTAAATGGCACTTTAAATAAGAAAAGGTGTAACTATTTTTTAGAATGATATAATTTAAATGTATAGTTTGGATCAAATGTAGTGTCATTCTTAGCATTATAATGGACTTTAATATATACATTATTCTTCAAAAAACTGATTTGAATATGCTAACATTTAAAAAGAAGCAGTTTTATATAAAATCTGCTGCTATACGTAGTATTTCATTGGCATATGAACTTTCATTTTTAAGTAGTTCTGATTATATAAATATATCATAAAGCACTTTGAAAACCATTTAAAAACGTTATCCTGTGTCGATCACTATAATGTTTTGCTTGCTTACTACCTGCATAATGTGAGAAGCTTGGATATACCATGCAAACATTGTCTCAGTACCGGTATGCTCTTTTCTTCCACTTTACAAAGAAAGGAAGCATTTCGGAACTTGATTATCAGATCATTTAAAAGACCAAATATAATGTGAGATGTTGTCGTTTCGAAGAACTCAAAATGTGTGCATCTCAGTATTTTATAACCATCATATAGTCATAGTAGGTTTTCTTTTTCTGAAATTAAAGTTCATGTATTGACATGGAGATTTTTCTTTAAATTATGATCATCAATCATAAAACAAGTAAGTTTTAAGTTTTTCTTCTATATAAAATGCTCAATTTTATTAAGTAAACAATTTTCATATTGGAGTCATAAACACCCATGATTAAAGAATTGCGATGTATTTGTTTACATTTGATGGACTATCATGAAGTACATGTGCATCATTAAAAGTCAAAGAAAAGATGAACAAACCAAAATCATGGGTCAAAATGTTTATTTCGTTTTTCAATGTACTTTGGAAGAAATTCCCAAACGACACTAGTGAAATGCATGTCTTTGGCTTTGATATTGATGAATAATAAAAACTTTTGTTTGTTTTTGGATTAAGATATGAGTGTGCATGTAAAGTTGCAGAGGTTGGGTCCAGCCGTTGATTGGAACTGGTGTTACAATGTAGATAAACTGTTGGAGAATTACAAGACAATGGAGCGAGGGGAGGGTGTCATATTATGTGCAAGCTGTTGCCTGGCCCTCTTCTATTTTCTATCTTTTACTTTCTTTCACTGTTAATTTTCTCACGTTTTTCTCAAGTTTTTGCTTTTCAATATGGGTAAGGAAAAGGAGGGGTATATTTGCACGAGCCCTTCCATTTCGCGTGTACATGTAATGCTACGCCACTGCGGATTGTATATTAAACTGTAGTTGCATATGTATTGGAATTAATGTACTATGTACTTTTGTATGGTTTTTGATGATCTCCGAATAAATAGGCTAATACATAGTGTGTATGTTGCAGAATGATTTGGAGAATGATTATTTTATCTATGTAACCACTGGCATAGATTCGGTGGAATGGGGAATATTCCTCTTCCCTCTTGATAAGCAAAATTTTAAAAAGATCAGAGGAACAACAAAAAATGTAAAGAAAAGAAAGAATAATAGGACCAACACTCATACTGAACAGGAAATATGCTATGCATCTGGTTGCGATGTACATATTTAATTTAATTGCTCGAGGGAAAATAATACATAGTGATAATATTTTTTGAACAGATGATTCTGCATTTATCGAAAAATCAAATACAAAAATATTCAAAGAACAATGATAGTATAATTAAAATATACTTGAGTTATATAAACGTGATAACTTGAATACACACACACATACACGCACACACACAATTGCATGTATATAAATGAAAACTTGAAAGTATGGCAGTAAATCAAAGAATCAAGATAAATGAAGAGACCCACTATCATAAGCATTATAGCAGCAAGAGAGAGAGAGAGAGAGAGTTGGAGAGAGAGAAGGAGAGAGAGAGAGAGAGAGAGAGAGAAAGAAAGAGGGGGGGTAGTGTGTGCATGCCAGGTGTGTGCAGGTAAAGTAAGTGTTCGATTCGTTTTGATCATGAACTAGTCATCTAAAATTAAGTTATATAAACGATTAAAATCGTTAAGACCCTTGCGAAGTCACTTGAAGAAATTGGATCTCTAGTCACTATGAACATGACTGACAAAGAAAGCGGACAAAATATACAGTTCCTCAGGTAGATAAAGGAACATCCCTTCACTGCTATTATGTAAAATATGTAGAACAGGTGTCACATGCATATTCATTTGTCACATAATAGCAGTGAAGGGATGTTCCTTTGTCTACCTGAGGAACTGTATATTTTGTCCGCTCTCTTTGTCAGTCATGTTCATAGTGAGTACTCCTTACTAGCCTGGGTGATCCATGGCGACGTTTAGAATCCTCATTTACACTAGTAACACTTCCTCTGGTATGTCTTTTGTTAAAGTACCCTTTTCTACACCACTTCCTCTGCGACTTGCCATTATGATAAACTAGTAGCTTAGTCACAACTTATAGCAATCAAAGGATTCAAATCAAGTACACAGATAATGCACACTCAGGCAGTAAAAGTGCATGAATTGGATCTAATAAATTTGGTTCAAAAAATTACAATCACAGAACCAAACTCTCTTGCTATAGAATTTTTTCCTGATGTCAAGGCGGCTTCTTGTTTTGGCTAGCTTCATGGAATGGCCTCTTGTTCTTTCATAGTCAGCAAACTGAAAATAATTTTCGGGTTTGGATTTGTCGATTTGCGTCATTATCCTGTAAGTTTGCAGTAGGTCTCCTCTCTCTCTCTTCTTTTCTCAAAAGTAGTTAGTTTCAGTTTTGCTAGTCTCTCTTCATATGGTAGATGTTGAACACTTGGAATGAGTTTTGTGGCTCTTGCTTGAACTTTTTCCAACTTCTTTTTGTCTTTTTCAGGTAGGGACACCAGGCCTGAATGGCGTAATCTAGGTGGGGTCTGACGAGTGATTTGTACAGTTTTAAGATCACTTCCTTACTCCTGAATGTAAAGTTGCGTTTGATCATTCCTAGTGTCCTGTTTCCTTTATTTGCTGCTGCAGCACACTGGGAGGCAACTTTCTGGGATTTGTGTACTAGAACCCCTAGATCTTGTTCTTCTGTACTTTCTTTCAGCTGGGAGTTGCCCATCGTGTATGTGTAGTGTGGGTTGTGGGTTCCAAAATGCATCACTCCACATTTGTCTGCATTGTACCTCATCTGCATGTATTTGCCCATCTGTGAAGGTGGTTGATGGAGTTTTGCATGTCTGTTCTATCATTGTCTATTTGCATTGGATGGATAAGCTTAGTGTCATCATCAAATTTGCTAACTGTTGATTTGTCGGTTAGCCCGATTTCGAGGTCATTCATGTATATCAAGAAGCACAGTGGTCCCAGGACTGATCCTTGTACTACAGAGCTGGTAATAGGTCTCCAGCTAAATTTGGCTCCCTGGGTAACAACTTTCTGCTTGCGACTGTTGAGGCAGGCTGTTATCCACTGTAATATATGTTACCTATTCCATGGGCCTTGATCTTTTTTTACTAGTCTCTTGTGTGGGACGGTATCGGCCAGATTCTGGACTATGATGTACCATGCACAATGCCTGGAGTTCCTGGTATTTTGCATAGTAAATACCTGTTCAGTGGCCATGTGCAGCTAAGGTACACACAAACATTACTGAGCAACGTCCTTACATGTTTATTATGCACTCAATGAATAGTTAATTACCATTATATCTAATCAGATAAATATCAACGAAGACTCTCAAGAAATCCATTCAACGGCAATCTCAATAAAATATCCTATTTGCCTACAAAAATCGTTTCAAATTATTGTAATGCTTGCAAATTTCAAAAGGTGATGCTAGAGGCTGTTAAAAAAAAATTTGCCCTCGGGTTGACTTCTGAAAGTCTTTTTGACCATATTTTATTATTTTCTATCTATTTTGATCAATACCTAATCTACAATTAATAACGAAATTGTTACCTGAATAATTCCTAATATCCTGATATGGGACAGTTTCTACTAAAAGAATGTCAAATGCTTCAAAATTTAGCATGTGAGGTGTCTTACAGTTAAAATCATCATAGAAAAAAACATGCAGCGGGTTAACTAAAAACTATGTTTTAAACCCAGTTTACTGCTGCCTCTCTGAACATGGCTTTAATCTACATTTGCCACTCCATACCCAGGAGAGAATAGGGGACCTGGTAGGATGACAAAAGCCATTGTTCTTAGTAATTGCCATGCCCTCACGGTGACCATAATTATGGTAGGAATACTTCCCAGGTAGAGGATACAGCATTTTATATTAAGTGCTATATATATATGATTCCAGATGATGATGATCATTATTTTATATCCTATTTCACACCCTATTTCACAAAGGAAAATGGCCAAACTTGCCTCTTACGGGTATCGGCTTTGCATGAACCTTTGACCGTAGCATTGCAAAACGTGTTTTCATGAAAAAAGTCTCTACTTGTGGTTCATATTATCATATTCTGTATCGTGGAAGAAAATATGGTGTACGATATAGTATCCAATGTCACACCATTTGAATTTCTAGGATGAGGAAATACAATTTTTCTAATTGAAATAGATTTGATATATTAAGATGATAATTTGGGTGGTTAAATACTTCACCGAAAGGATTAACCAGGTCTCGACACTAGGCACTAACGGGTGTGTGGGATAATGCATGGGCACCAAAAATGTTGAAGTTGTTACATAGGGTTTATGCATACAGACAGTAATATACATTAGTTCAATCCGGACATCCCTACAAAAAAATACGTGTGGAATCCTGGGTAAATGAGAGAATGCATGAATATTTCCAACTCGTTTCTTCTAATACATTGCACCGGCATTGGATAAAGCCATGCTAGCATAAATCTCAAGAAATTTACATCTCTTTTTTTCGGGGGGGGGGGAGGGGTATATAATGATAATTGTATACATGTATGTTATGTTTCGAAGTGACCTATTATACTGTGCCTAATTCATGTAAAGTTATGTAGATATGACACTGCACAAAAATTATGATCAGTTTGTTTGCCTCTTTCCTTCAAATATTTGTAATGATGTTGATGAGTATGTGTTTGTTCGGAAAAATAGGGGGAAGAGAAGTTTAGAGAGAGGGAGGAAGAGAATGTGATTTTGGAGAGAGAGGGGAGCAGGGAAGGGTAGGGGAGTGAGGGAAAGAGAAATGAAAGACAGAGAGAGAGAGAGCGTGATAAACAAGTAGACAAGAGGGAGAAGGGAAGGGGGAAAGAATAATGAAGAGAGGGTGCACAGAGATAGAGAAGACAGATGAAGAGGAAATTGGTAAGGGGATGCAGAGAGAGAGAAATAGGGAAAGAGGGGAGAGATTGGAAGAGAAGAAAATAGAGCAGAATGAAGGAGGGAGATTAAAGGTGATACAAAGTTTGGGAAATTTTGAGAATTGGCTGGATAATGATTCTTTACAATTTTGATATATTTGGATGCCCCTGTGGATGTGTTATAAGCACTAGAAAATTTACCCCCTAAAACACTTCTGCTTTCGAGAAAAATTGAATATAAAATTATCGGTGCTCCCGGTAAATTTTGATAAATTTCAAATAGCACTTACGGCCATACAATGGTAACTGCAACCATGAAAATCTCAGAAAATGGGAGTAGTCAATCGGTCGATTTTAGTCAAGAAATATTGTTTTAATTGTCTTAATTAATATATTGACCTTGAGAGGGAGCTATACAACATAAAGAGTGTATTATTTACAATTTCATAACTTTAGACTCGATTTCAACCGCGAAAACGATCACTGAATATTGTAGGATCGTATATGCTTCTAGTATGTTCATTTGAACCAAATTCATGACCCCATACCAGAACTTTGTTTTCCCTTTAATAAAAAGTGAAGAGAGAGAGAGACAGGGGAGATAGAAATGTTGAAAAGAGAGGGTGAGAAGGAGGGAGATGAGAAAAGGGAACAAATATATAAAGAAGACGAGGGAAGAGAGAAATAAAAGGAGATATACTGGTAAAGGGATGGAGAAAGAATAAAGAGATAGAGTGGAGGAGATTTGGAGTTGGAAGAAAGACAGGAGCATGAGGGTGGGCGGGAGGCGTCTTTTTTTTTTACACACAACTGTTTAGCCACTTCAGTCAAATATACTGTGCAAACGACTAGAGACAGAGTCTAGCATTACCCTTAGCAGTTTTGTTGCATTGCTGGAGCTGTACATGTACATACTCGTTATTTGTTTCGGGTTAAATATATCCCCTCTTCTCTTTCATTGTGTATTTCTTTTGTTCTCCTTCAATCTATCCTCTTCTCTTTTGTCATGTATTTCTTTCTTTTTTCTTCAATCTATTTCTCCTTCGTTATATATTTCTTTGTTTTTCCTTCTATCCCCCAGTTTCGTTATGTATTTCTTTTGTTCTCATTTATTCTAACCTCTTCTCTTTTGTTTTATGTATTTCTTTGTTTCTCCTTCAATCTATCCTTTTCTCCTTCGTCATCTATTTCTTTGTTTTAATCTGATAGATTCCCTTTCTCCTATATATACTTTATGTATTTCCCTGTTTTTCCTTAGTCTAGACAGGGATATGTGAGTCACATATCCCTGGTCTAGATCTATGATCCTCTTAGCTCTTCAATTATATATTTCTATATGTTCTTCCTTTGACTTATCCTCTTCTCTTTCCTTATGTATTTCCTTGTTTTTCCTTCTCCATATCGTCTCCACTATCCTTGTTTTCCCCTTTCTGTCATCTTCCTTCCCTGGGTGTAGTGCTTGCACATAATATAGTGCGCTGACGACTTAGACTCTTTCACCAGAGCACTTCTTGGAATTTTTTCGCGAAAATGGCTAAACAGTTGTGTAAAAAAAATATGCGCGGGCGGGAGGGGGAGAGATACTGGAAGACGGAGGAAAATAGAAGTAGGGAAGTATCAGCGCCTCTTTTCATGGGGAGGAGTATACACTAATTTTTATTTGATGATTTATCATACTATTCCTGATCATGGGACGTTATTGATTTTATGACACTGCACGAAACTCGTTTGGTAATTATTTTCTGTAGAGGATATTTGTAAAGATAAAGAGAGAGAGAGAGAGAGAGGGGGGTGGGATCGAGGGAGAAAGAAGAGAGAGATGAAAGAGTGAGAGGAGGAAACTTGGTCCAAACACATTTTTAATATACAAGGAGAAAGAGACACATGTACGTCATTACCAATACATCGAAGATAAAACAGAGAGAGAGAGAGAGAGAGAGAGAGAGAGAGAGAAACAGCACAATAAAGATGCATATTTTTTACGCATGAGTGATTTAAAACATTTCGTAGAGAGGAAACTAAAAAGTCATTTTTAGGGCGGTATCTTAATTTTGTTTTCTTCACATTTCTCGAAAGTTCATTTTCTGCCCTTTCTTATAACAACCAAAATGACTTTTTTGGTTGTTTTGTAGTTGTTTTTGTGTGTTATATGTGTTTATGCTATGCATTATGCTCATGCACTTAAAGGCACTATGTCCCATTTGCAGGCCAAAAATGAAAAGGTTAAATTCCAACGGCATTTGCAAGTAAATACTAATTTAAAACTTCCCTAAAAAAAAAAGGGGGGGGGGCTTGAAAATGTCTTTAAATGGGAAAACAACGACTATTAGTTGTCAAATCGACTTAAGAGCTATATAGCCAGTAACTAATAGTCTGATTTTGAGACCATTGTACCGAACGGTCGTACGTTTTTATGCTGCGCAAAGATTCAATCAGTTTATTTTTGGCTATAGCTAATACACATTGTCAATAACATACATAGAATTGAGAGCCAAAGTTGTTTTCCTTAATACTAATGAGATATGCACATTATACCGGAAATTCAACGTGATACGATCGACGTCAAAAGTGAAAGTGTTGACCTCTGGGAAAACCCACCAGTACTAGTACAAATTCAGGCGCTGCGCTTATTTGCAGTGTTGGTACCATAACCGGTGTATACTTTAGGCTTCATTGGGAAGAGAATTCGTTATTGAGACGTACATGTATTCTCTATTAATGAGTGCAGATATTGAGTTGGCCTGCAGATGTCATGTTTATTCAGCATCGTAGATATACATGATATAGTTTAAGTTTCCAGCAAACTTTTCATGAAAGTGGATCTCGTTGAAATAATTTAAACGGGATTCTGTGCAGGCTGAATTGCTTTCTCTAAGTTGTACCCGATTCGCACATATATGGCCGAGAAGCAGGAAGAAGAGGACGTTCCGGTCTCTTCACAAGGTTTGACATGTCCACTGTGTCTTGATATCTTCGACGATGCAACCCTCTTGACCTCTTGCGGACATACCTTCTGTCGAGCCTGTCTCAAGAAATATGACCTATCCCACCAGGATCTTGATCACATGGTCTGCCCTCTCTGCAGGACAGTGACGAAGTTTTCCGCCAACCGGGTCGACGATCTCCTCTCCAATGTGACGGTCAACGGACTCGTAGACGACTACCGTGCCAGGTCTGGAGGGGCCAGTGCCATCCAGGAGATGCGGCAAAAATGCACTGTCTGCAACCTTCAGATAGAAACCATCGCTTTCTGCATAACATGCAATCTATCCATGTGTGACCAATGCCGCGTTGGCCACAAACGACAGCAGATGTTCTTCGAAGGTCATGAGATCGTATCTATCCAGGATATCATTGAGGGAAATGTTACACCTAGTCGCCCCTCCGAGAAATGCTCCGTCCACAGACTAGAGAACAAAGATATGTTCTGTCAGGATTGTAAGATGCGCGTCTGTTTCAAGTGCGTCGTCATCGATCATCGAGATCACAAGATAAAATCACACAAGGACTTCGAAAAGGAAATGCAGGTTAAGGTACGTAGTCCAATGGCAGGTCATTCATGAACGGTCTAAAATATCTTGTTCACTCGAATATGAATTATTATTTACATATTACCCAAATGTACACCGTTGCCACATTAATTTATAACTTTTTTTTTCGCTTATCTCTTTTCGTGACAATATGATATATTCTTGATAGATATAAAGATTATATCATTTAGATTTTTACCCTGGCTTAAAGGTTGGGTGACATCTAATTATATTAAGTTGATTCCTGTTGATGTGCAGGGCTACATACAATGCATATTTTGTTTTCCAAACACCTAAATATATTTCATAGATTTCAAAATATTTTAAAACATTATGTTCTCAGACCTGCTAAGCTCCACCCTTGAAAATGTTTCAGATCTCATTCATCTTGTGACATCACCTGTTAATCATTATTGAGCTAACAAGAGACAGTCGTATGTAACTACCCCCATCATTGCACATTCTCACAAAGAATTGCATTCTATCTTACAATACATTCAAATTAACCTTTCTTTTCCTGGTGACGTCTGACATAGCAACTCATATGTTGGTATTGTAAACAGGTTATCAGCTCTGGTGAACCTACATATACCACTGTCTCTTGACTAATAATTGACAGATGATGTCACAAGATGAATGAGATCTGGAGCATTTTTGTAGGGTGGAGCTTAGCAGGTCTGAAAATATTATTTAAAAATGTTTAAAAACCTTTGAAATATATTTAGATATGCCCCCACTTTAAAGTGCCCCTTTTTACGTAGGAAGAGTGCCCCTATTACTTTAAATATTGTGCCCCTTTTATTTTGACACATGCCCCTCATATATGCCTTTGCAATAGGTTTCCATTTCTCATAAGTGCCCTTTTTAATCAGGTGCCAGATGTGCCCCTATTCATTTTTGATAAGTGACCGTGTCGCCTCTGATAATTGCCCTATTAAAATCTGGGAGGTGCCCTTTTTACATCTAAAACCTCTAATCTAAGACCTTACATTTGCATACTCTTATTTGACTATTTTATGTTGACAATATTATATGTACCATTCATTTATAGACCTTGAATTATTATACTACCATATTTTGTATTACTATGATGTATTGTGTATTTTACTTTGTTATACTTTGTTATTTAACTAATTTTTATATGATGTTTTTAAAACCAGGCCTAAGATGCTAAGCAGATTTACTTCTCATCTTGTGTACCTGTATAAATATGTTTGAATAAATAAATAAATAAACAAATAAATGTACTTTGACAAGTGCCCCTTTTCCTCATGATAAATGCCTTTTTTAAGAGCCCCTTCCCCTTCTCATAAATACCCATTTCCACCTATGAGAAGTGCCCCTTTTCATCTTTGGTAAATCACCCTTTTCAGGTACGAGAAGTTAATCCTTTTCACATCAGGTAAGTGCGCTCATCACCTCCGATAATTGCCCCTAATCAAATCTGAGAGATGCTCGTTTTACTTTGACAAGTGCCCCTTCCCCTCATAATAAGTGCTCTTTTCATCTCTGTCGAGTCTCCCTTTCCACCTCTTTTAACTGCCCCTTTTATTTTGACACGTTCCCCTTTTTCTTTTTTATAAAATAAATGCTCTTTTTCCTTCTTAGAAGTGCACCTTCACCTTTTCTTAATGACCCTTTTCACCTCTCATAAATGCTCCTATTAAAAGTCCCCCTTTTCTTTCAACAAGGGGGATGTGCCCCCCCCCCCCCCCCCTCTGAAGCTGATTTTTTTTTGTTTTTGATTTTTGAAACTGGATTCGTGCGATTTGGTTAATTCTTTAGGCAAAATTAAATGAAAGCCTTTTTAGGTTTTTGGGGGGGGGGGGAGATAACCCCCATCCACCGGGATCTCCGCCTCTGGTAACACATGTTGATTACTGCCTTGCCAAAGAAAATTGGCGCGTGCACGCCAGTGGCGTACGAAGGATTATTTTGAAGGGGGGTTAACATTTTTTAATCGGGCAGAAAATTTAGCAAAGCCTCAGCCAGCCGCTGAGCGAGGGGGGGGGGGGGGAGGGTGAGAGCACTTTTGTTTTGGCCCCAAAAATTTCGCAACGACTCAAAATGACTCAGGGGGGGGTAAGGTCACTTTGTGGGGTCACCCTTTGGCACAATTCCCCCCTTTTTTAAATTGAGGGGGGGGGGGGTCATCAAAAATCACACACAAACACAACATTGAGGGGGGTTCGACCCCCGCTGCGTACGCGCCTTGTGCACGCTAATTAACGGAACTAAGCTCATTAAGTTTGGGATTTCTCTTTACATTAAATAACGAGGATCTAGAAGTTTCGTTGTATAAAACAAATGATGCACGTTTCATTGCTCCTTGCGGAATCTATGAGTCTGTGCATACAGCCTCAACTCGAATGCGAATAGATCGTAAAATGAACACGTTCGTATGTACCATTAGTATAATTACTCCTGATTCCTGAACACATGTAGTTGGCATAATACTATCTTATAAATGATATGAGGACATTCGAAAATAAAGTTTTTTGTTGGAACTTTCACTGTTCAGTGTTATTTTACAAACAGATATAAGTTGGTTTATTCAGTTTGGATCCTCGTCGTCGTCTCTTTCTCCAGAGAAACCCTGTTCAGAAAAATGAAATAAATCCATAACTTGCAGATATTAATTATGCTACCTGTACTTCTTAAAGTGTAGTTTGACATATTGATAATGTTCTCTGCGCACCCCCCCCCCCCTCCACCCCACTCAATGTTATTAAGGGTACGCGTATGCAGGCGCGGATCCAGGGGACCGAGCGGGCCTTGCCCCCCCCCCCCGCAAACAAAAGAAAAAAGAGAGAGAGAGAGAAGAAAAGAAGGAGAGGGAAAGAGGAGAGAAAGGGAAAGAAAGAAGAGGAAGAAGAAAAGAGAAGGGGGAGGGAAAAGATCTTCTATGAAGGGCCCTAAGGCGAGCCCCTAGATGCTTATCTGACGATAATTTAAGGCATGAAACCCTGAGATTCTCGGGGCTCCACCCCATGGACCCCACGCCAATGCCAATGCCACAAATAAGGTATCAAGAATATGCTCATCTGACCGTAATTAAATGCCCACAACCCCTGAGCTTCCGGGGGCTCCGCCTCTCGACCCCAGGCCAAGTTGTGACTTGCCAGTGTCACGAATAAGGTATCAAAATATTCTCATCTTACCATAACTAAATGCCTATACCCCCTGAGCTTCAGGGGGCTCCGTCCCTCGACCCCCGCTGGGGCTTTGCCCTAGACCCCACGCCAATTTACGCTACGCTCTACCTGATCGTAAATACCTTAGCCTCCCCCACTCACCTTGTAAAACGTTCAGCAGGGCCTGCATATAAGAGTATGGGCGGCCGAGCGACTTCCGAAGTGGGGGGGGGGGGGGGGGGGGGGGGGAGGGGGCACCAATACAGAAGTGCACCTACAAAGGAAATCTCAAAGCGAAAATATACCATTATATGCTAGAGGATCAACCTTTTCTGATCGATTCCACAACGTTTCTTTCACAATGCCTCGCATGACCAGAACTGGTCTATACCTTTAATGATGAGATGAAAAGGGGACACTTATCAGGAAAGAAAAGAAGCATGCGCCAAAGTAAAAAAAGTAATTATCATCATTACTTCTTACACCCTTAAAAAGAGGCACTCACCAGAGATGAAAAAAGTCAGTCATGAGAATAGGAAATGGGTATTTGTCGACGGAAAAGGGGCCCCCATCAGATTTTGGTAGGGGCTTTTTTAAGATATCCTTATCAGAGGTGAAAAGAGGCACTTCTCGCATCTGAAAAGAGGCAATGAACAGAGAAGGGGCACTTATGAGAAGATAAAGGGGCTCTTTTCAATGGGAAACTTATCATTAAGAAAAGGAGCACTTATTAGAAAGGAAAAGGCACATGTGAAAATATAAGGTGCGCTTATCCGAGTTAAAATGGGGGTAGTCATAAAAGGGGAAGGGGCACTTCTTACAAAGAAAAGGGGCCCTTGTCAAAGTAAAAGAGGCACGTACCTCTCAGATTTCAATAAGACAATTATCAGAGGTGAAGGGGGCACTTATCAAAAGTGAAAATAGGCACTTCTCGTACCTAACTAGGGGCACTTACTAGAGATTGCAAAGGGCACTAATGAGAATGGGAAATAGACCCTTATTGCAAAGAAAAAAGGGGTACTTGTCGAAGGAAAGGGGCACGTGTCCAAATAAAAGTGGCACTTATCAGAGATGAAAAGGGGAAGAGGCACTTTTACAAATTAATAGGGGTACTTGTCAAAGTAAAAATGTTAAAAGGGGCACTTTAAAAAAAATTATGGGGCACTTTTCCTAAGTAAAAGGGGACCTCCCCAAGGGAGGCCCGCTCTGTGGGGGTTATGCGGATTTTTGTTTTGTTTTTGGCTCATTTGGCCCATTACGTATCAATATTTGGCTCGCATAATTTTAAATTCCCCCCCCCCCCAAGAAATCCTGGATCTGCACCTGCGCGTATGCATGTTCCCTCCCTTTGAAAGCAACCCATCTTAGTCCGGTGTGTAAAGTCAATAAGGGCCGATTTTTTGTGTATTACGAGCCGGACTTTGCTGCGTGAAAATTACCGGAGATTTGGGGAACATGAAAGCGGTCCCTCCGTTCCCGGAGTGGGGGGGGGGGGGGCGAGGTTCTCTTGTCAGCTGCCATGGTGAGTGCACTATTTACGATTGGGGTTTTCCGGTTATCCGGTAAATGAATGCAATTTATTCCATTGAACTTTATTTAAAAAAACTTCATACCATTATCATTACTTTCCATTTTTTTTCCATTTCTGTTCCCTTCGTTAATTCCTCTAAATGAGTACTAAGCAGGTCCTGTTGACGGAATATTTATTATTACAGATTTTTCAGTTAGGCTACCAGGTTGTGTTTCGGAAAGCCTAAAATTGTGAATATCAAAGGCTTATGCCGAAAGGATGGGTAGCGTCCCCGGAAATTTGAAAATCGCGCCAGCCGATATTTCGCTCAACCCTCCCCCCTCCCCCCCTTTCAGCAAAAAAAAAGAGATACATTTCTGGTCACAATAAAAATAAAAAAAAAATAAAAATTGTTTTGTCAGAGGGAGGGGGACAAGGCCCGCTCCCCCCCCCCCTTGAACCGGGCCTTGATTTCAGAATGTGATCAGAATTTCACATTCAAGTGAGAATCATTCTTTTTGCTTTCCTTCAACTTCCGTTCTTTAGGTGAGTGATCTTCTCCATCGTTGTAATGCAAAGAAGTCAGACCTGGAGAAGAACATTCAGAATGTGGAGACACATCGTGATGAAGCACATACTGCGCTACAGCTACTACGTGAAAATGTGGGCCTAGCCTGTCGTACCAAGGTCAAGCAACTAGAAGACAACCGACGTGTACTCATTGAGAAGATCGATGCTCTGGAACGTAGTTTTAATGAAGCCCTCAACGTTCTAAAGTCGAACGACCGACAGATGATCAAGAGCATTTGTAGTTCGGTAGATTTGGTGGATAATGACAGACTAGGTTGCCTTGAGACGGACAGTCTATCTGCTCACACATTCCTTTGCGAAGAGATCGATGGCTTGCTAAAGGAGGCTATTGATCAAACCTCTGCAGCAAACATAAAGGAGAAGGCAAAAAAGCAGAAGTTCAAGCCTGCAGATGACACCAGTCTTGACCTCGGGAATATCTCAGAAACAGTTCTAGGACAATTACCTCCTGGACAATCACCCCCCGGCCAATTACCAACGGGACGTTTTGTAAACCGCCCCCGTCCCGGAGGACAATTACCCACCTCCCCGAGGACAGGTACCCTCTTCCCAGTCTCCCTCCAAGTCTCTCTCCCGGTATACCCCCTTGGAAAACCCCCCCTCAGCTCCCTTTCCAGTCTGATCAACAAATGTCATGAATATGGACAATTACCGAATACCCTTCCCCAGTGACGGATCCAGGAAGAGCACGGGGGGCTTACAACCAAAAAAAAAACCTCCCCTCCTATAAGGTAACCCCCGAGGACAAGTACCCTCCCCCACCTCCCCCTCCAAGTAGGTAACCCCCGAGGACAAGTACCCTCACCCACCTCCCTCCTAGTAGGTTACCCCCGAAGACAAGTACCCTCCCCCACCTCCCCCTCATAGTAGGTTACCACCGAGGACAAGTACCCTCCCCCACCTCCCCCTCCTAGTAGGTAACCCCCGAAGACAAGTACCCTCCTCCACCTCCCAGTAGGTTACACCCGAGGACAAGGACCCTCCCCCACCTCCCCTTCCTAGTACGTTACACCCGAGGACAAGTACCCTTCCCACCTCCCCCTCCTAGTAGGTTACCCCCGAGGACAAGTACCCTCCCCCACCTCCCCCTCCTAGTAGGTTACCCCCGAGGACAAGTAGCCTCCCCACCTCCCCTCCTAGTAGGTTACCCCGAGGACAAGTACCCTCCCCACCTCCCCTCCTAGTAGGTTACCCCCGAGGACAAGTACCCTCCCCCACCTCCCCTCCTAGTACGTTACACCCGAGGACAAGTACCCTCCCCACCCCGAGGACAAGTACCATCCCCCACCTCCCCTCCTAATAGGTTACCCCGAGGACAAGTACCCTCCCCCACCTCCCCTTCCTAGTACGTTACACCCGAGGACAAGTAGCCTCCCCACCTCCCCCTCCTAGTAGGTTACCCCCGAGGACAAGTACCCTCCCCCACCTCCCCCTCCTAGTAGGTTACCCCCGAGGACAAGTACCCTCCCCCACCTCCCCTCCTAGTAGGTTACACCCGAGGGCAAGTATTTTCCCAGCCTCTCCCTCATAGTAGGTTACCCCCGAGGACAAGTACCCTACCCACCCCTCCTCCTAGTAGCTTACCCCTGGGGACAATTAACCTACCCCAACTCCCCTCCTAGCAGGTTACCCTCGGGGACAAGCACCCTCCCCAACTCCCTCCCAGTAGGTTACCCCGAGGACAAGTACCCTCCCCGTCCTCCCCCTCCTAACAGGTTACCCCCGAATGCAAGTACCCTCCCCCACCTCCCCTCCTAGTAGGTTACCACCGAGGACAAGTACCCTTCTCCACCTACCCCTCCTTGTAGGTTACACCCGAGGACAAGTACCCTTCCCCACCTTCCCTCCTAATAGGTTACCGTCGAGGACAAGTACCCTACCCCAACTCCCCTCCTAGTAGGTTACCCCCGAGGACAAGTATCCTCCCCACCTCCCCTCCTAGTAGGTTACCTCAGTGGACAATTACCCTCCCCCACCTCTTCCTCCTAACAGGTTACCCCCGAATTCAAGTACCCTCCCCCACCTCCCCTCCTAGTAGGTTACCTCCGAGGGCAAGTATCCTCCCCACCTACCCCTCCTAGTAGGTTACCCCCGAATTCAAGAACCCTCCCCCACCTCCCCTCCTAGTGGGTTACTCTCGAGGACATGTACCCCCCCCCACCTCCCCTCCTAGTAGCTTATCCCCGAGGGCATGTATCCTCCCCACCCCTCCTCCTAGTAGCTTACCCCCGAGGACAAGTACCCTCCCCCACCTCCCCTCCTTATAGGTTACCCCCAAGGACAAGTACCCTCCCCCACCTCCCCTCCTAACAGGTTACCCCCGAGGACAAGTACCCTACCCCAACTCCCCTCCTAGTAGGTTACCCCCGAGGACAAGTACCCTCCCCCACCTCCCCTCCTAGTAGGTTACCCCCGAGGACAAGTACCCTCCCCCACCTCCCCTCCTTGTAGGTTACCCCCGAGGACAAGTACCCTCCCCCACCACTTCCTCCTAACAGGTTACCCCCGAATGCAAGTACCCTCCCCCACCTCCCCTCCTAGTAGGTTACCCCCGAGGGCAAGTACCCTCCCCCACCTACCCCTCCTTGTAGGTTACCCCCGAGGACAAGTACCCTTCCCCACCTCTCCTCCTAGTAGGTTACCGCCGAGGACAAGTACCCTACCCCAACTCCCCTCCTAGTAGGTTACCCCCGAGGACAAGTATCCTCCCCCACCTCCCCTCCTAGTAGGTTACCCCCGAGGACAAGTACCCTTCCCCACCCCTCCTCCTAGTAGGTTACCCCCGAATGCAAGTATCCTCCCCACCTCCCCTCCTATTAGCATACCCTCGAGGACAAGTACCCTCCCCACCTTCCCTCCTAGTCTGCTCCTAGTAGGTTACCCCCGAGGACAAGTACCCTCCCCCACCCCCCCCCCCTTGCAGTAGGTTACCCCCGAGGACAAGTATCCTCCCCCACCTCCCCTCCTAGTAGGTTACCCCCGAGGACAACCGTTGGTTGCCCGATAAAGGTCGCGTAGCGTGGGCGCTGGTTAAAAAAAGGGGGAACCGAGAAAAACGCTTTTGAAGTTTTAACATCTACTTCAAGGGGTAAGAACGACAATGTTTCTATGTTCCATGTACCCAAAACTATTCTTAGAGAAGTTATTAACCTGATTTATTATGTTCTCAAATTAGTTTGCAAATATATCTTCCTTTTGCTAATACGTTTTGCTGGAACAAAAAAGCCCGAACGGGCTACCGACGTACCTTCCCCACCTCCGCCTCCTAGTAGGTTACCCCCGAGGTTATTACCCGCGATAGACAACGGGAAGACTACTGAAATTGTACATTTTCGTGGGGCGGCAAATGCAACCACGTTTCATTGGCATGCTAATAATTACATGTAAAATAATATACAGAATCAAATTTGACATATTGCCGACATTCACACTTGTTCCCGAACTCAAAATTAAAAAGAAACTTACGAAATTGTACAATCGATTCACTGACAAGTCTGCAATTTACAGCGTGTGTTAAAGATTTCACTTCGCGCGCAATAGTGTGCGATAGCATTCGGGCTGCACAGCCTCGTTCGCTATTATTTTTTTTGCACTGCATTGCACACGTGCAGAATCCATAATGGAAAGCATGGATTAATCGACATAATCGGGTTCCGACAACGAAAACGACATCGTAATTTTCTTTAAATGCACTTTAAATAAGAAAAGGAGTAACAATTTTTTGGAATGATATAATTTAAATGTAAAGTTTGGATCATAATGTAGTGTCATTCTTATTATTATAATGGACTTTATTATATATATTATTCTTCAAAAAAATGATTTGAATATGCTAAAATTTAAAAGAAGCTGTTATATATAAAATCTGCTGCTATATGTAGTTTTCATTGGCATATGAACTTTCATTTTTAAGTAGTTCTGATTATATAAATATATCATAAAGCACTTTGAAAACCATTTAGAAACGTTATCCTGTGTCGATCACTATGATGTTTTGCTAACTTACTACCTGCATAATGTGACAAGCTTGGATATACCATGCAAACATTGTCTCAGTATGCTCTTATCTTCCACTTTACAAAGAAAGGAAGCATTTCGGAACTTGATTATAAGATCATTCAAAAGACCAAATATAATGTGAGATGTTGTTGTTTCGAAGAACTCAATATGTGTGCATCTCAGTATTTTATAACCATCATAATAGTCATAGTAGGTTTTCTTTTCCTGAAATTAAAGTTCATGTATTAACATGGAGATTTTTCTTTAAATTATGATCATCAATCATAAAACAAGCACTTTGTTTTGTTTTAATTTTTTCTTCTATAGAAAATTCTCAATTTTATCAAGTAAAGAATTTTCATATTGGAGTCATAAAAACCCATGAATAAAAAATTGCGATGTACCTGTTTACATTTGATGTACTATCATGAAGTACATGTGCATCATTAGAGGTTAAAAAAAAGATGAACGAACCAAAATCATGGGTCAAAATGTTTATTTCGTTCTTCCATGTACTTTGGAAGAAATCCCCAAATGACACTGGTGAAATGCATCTTTGGCTTTGGCTTTGATATTGATGAATAATAAAAACTTCTGTTTGTTTTTTTATTTAGAAATGAGTGTGCATGTAAAGTGGCATAGGTTGGGTCCAGCCGTTGATTGGAACTGGTGTTACAATATAGATAAACTGTTGGAGAATTACAAGACAATGGAGCGAGGGGAGGGTGTCATATTATGTGCATGCTGTTGCCTGACCCTCTTCTATTTTCTATCTTTTACTATCTTTCACTGTTAATTTTCTCACGTTTTTCTCACATTTTTAGCTTTTCAATATGGGTAAGGAAGAGGAGGGGTATATTTGCATGAGCCCTTCCATTTCGCATGTACATGTAATGCTACGCCATTGTGGATTGTATATTGAACTGTAGTTGCATATGTATTGGAATTAAGGTACTTTGTAATTTTGTATGGTTTTTGATTTTCTCCAAATAAATTGGCTAATCCATAGTGTGTACATTGCAGAATGATTTGGAGGATGATTATTTTATCTTTGTAACCACTGGCATAGATGCGGTGGAATGGGGAATATTCCTCTTCCCTCTTGATAAGCAACATTTCAAAAAGATCAGAGGAACACAAAAAAAAATGCAAAGAAAAGTAAGATAATAGGACCAGCACTCATACTGAACAGGAAATATGCTATGCATCTGGTTGCGATGTACATATTGAATTTAATTGCTGAGGGAAAATAATGCAAAGTGATAATCTTTTTTGAACAGATGATTCTGCATTTATCGAAAAATCAAATACAAAAATATTCAAATAACAATGATAGTATAATTAAATTATACTTGAGTTATATAAACGTGATAACTGGAATACACACACACACACACGCACACACACAACTGCATGTATATAAATGAAAACTTGAAAGTATGGCAGTAAATCAAAGAATCAAGATAAATGAAGAGACCCACTATCATAAGCATTATAGCAGCAAGAGAGAGAGAGAGGGAGTTGGAGAGAGAGAAGGAGAGAGAGAGAGAGAGAGAGAGAGAGAGAGGGGGGTAGTGTGTGCATGCCAGGTGTGTGCAGGTAAAGTAAGTGTTCGATTCGTTTTGATCATGAACTAGTCATCTTAAATTAAGTTATATAAACGATTAAAAACGTTAAGACCCTTGCGAAGTCACTTGAAGAAATTGGATCTCTAGTCACTATGAACATGACTGACAAAGAAAGCGGACAAAATATACAATATACATATACTGCTATTATGTAAAAATATGTAGAACAGGTGTCACATGCATATTCACTTGTTACATAATAGCAGTGAAGGGATGTTCCTTTGTCTACCTGAATAGTTAATTACCATTACATCTAATCAGATAAATAGCAGCGAAGACTCTCAAGAAATCCATTCAGGGGAGGGGTATATAATGATATATGTATACATGAATGTATGTTCAAAGTGACCTATTACACTGTGCCTAATTCATGTGAAGTTATATAGATATGACACTGCACAAAAATCATGATTAGTTTGTTTGCCTCTATCCTTCAAATAGTAAAGATGATGATGAGTACGTGTTTGTTCGGAAAAGGGAATGAAGAGAGAAAAAAGGGGGAGAGAAAGATTAGAGAGAGGGAGGAAGAGATTGTGATTTGGGAGAGAGAGAGAGAGAGGAGAGCGAGGAAGGGTAGGGGGAGTGAGGGGAAGAGAAATGAAAGACACAGAGAGAGAGCGTGATAAACAAGTAGACAAGAGGGAGAAGGGAAGGGGGAAAGAATAATGAAGAGAAAGGGTGCACAGAGATAGAGAAGACAGATGAAGAGGAAATTGGTAAGGGGATGCAGAGAGAGAGAAATAGGGAAAGAGGGGAGAGATTGGAAGAGAAGAAAATAGAGCAGAATGAAGGAGGGAGATTAAAGGTGATACAAAGTTTTGGGAAATTTTGAGAATTGGCTGGATAATGATTCTTTACAATTTTGATATATTTGGATGCCCCTGTGGATGTGTTATAAGCACTAGAAAATTTACCCCCTAAAACACTTCTGCTTTCGAGAAAAATTGAATATAAAAATTATCGGTGCTCCCGGTAAATTTTGATAAATTTCAAATAGCACTTACGGCCATACAATGGTAACTGCAACCATGAAAATCTCAGAAAATGGGAGTAGTCAATCGGTCGATTTTAGTCAAGAAATATTGTTTTAATTGTCTTAATTAATATATTGACCTTGAGAGGGAGCTATACAACATAAAGAGTGTATTATTTACAATTTCATAACTTTAGACTCGATTTCAACCGCGAAAACGATCACTGAATATTGTAGGATCGTATATGCTTCTAGTATGTTCATTTGAACCAAATTCATGACCCCATACCAGAACTTTGTTTTCCCTTTAATAAAAAGTGAAGAGAGAGAGAGACAGGGGAGATAGAAATGTTGAAAAGAGAGGGTGAGAAGGAGGGAGATGAAGAGAAAGGGAACAAATATATAAAGAAGACGAGGGAAGAGAGAAATAAAAGGAGATATACTGGTAAAGGGGATGGAGAAAGAAATAAAGAGATAGAGTGGAGGAGATTTGGAGTTGGAAGAAAGACAGGAGCATGAGGGTGGGCGGGAGGCGCATTTTTTTTTACACACAACTGTTTAGCCACTTCAGTCAAATATACTGTGCAAACGACTAGAGACAGAGTCTAGCATTACCCTTAGCAGTTTTGTTGCATTGCTGGAGCTGTACATGTACATACTCGTTATTTGTTTCGGGTTAAATATATCCCCTCTTCTCTTTCATTGTGTATTTCTTTTGTTCTCCTTCAATCTATCCTCTTCTCTTTTGTCATGTATTTCTTTCTTTTTTTCTTCAATCTATTTCTCCTTCGTTATATATTTCTTTGTTTTTCCTTCTATCCCCCAGTTTCGTTATGTATTTCTTTTGTTCTCATTTATTCTAACCTCTTCTCTTTTGTTTTATGTATTTCTTTGTTTCTCCTTCAATCTATCCTTTTCTCCTTCGTCATCTATTTCTTTGTTTTAATCTGATAGATTCCCTTTCTCCTATATATACTTTATGTATTTCCCTGTTTTTCCTTAGTCTAGACAGGGATATGTGAGTCACATATCCCTGGTCTAGATCTATGATCCTCTTAGCTCTTCAATTATATATTTCTATATGTTCTTCCTTTGACTTATCCTCTTCTCTTTCCTTATGTATTTCCTTGTTTTTCCTTCTCCATATCGTCTCCACTATCCTTGTTTTCCCCCTTTCTGTCATCTTCCCTTCCCTGGGTGTAGTGCTTGCACATAATATAGTGCGCTGACGACTTAGACTCTTTCACCAGAGCACTTCTTGGAATTTTTTCGCGAAAATGGCTAAACAGTTGTGTAAAAAAAATATGCGCGGGCGGGAGGGGGAGAGATACTGGAAGACGGAGGAAAATAGAAGTAGGGAAGTATCAGCGCCTCTTTTCATGGGGAGGAGTATACACTAATTTTTATTTGATGATTTATCATACTATTCCTGATCATGGGACGTTATTGATTTTATGACACTGCACGAAACTCGTTTGGTAATTATTTTCTGTAGAGGATATTTGTAAAGATAAAGAGAGAGAGAGAGAGAGAGAGAGAGAGAGAGAGAGAGAGAGAGAGAGAGGGGGGTGGGATCGAGGGAGAAAGAAGAGAGAGATGGAAACTTGGTCCAAACACATTGTTAATATACAAGGAGAAAGAGACACATGTACGTCATTACCAATACATCGAAGATAAAACAGAGAGAGAGAGAGAGAAACAGCACAATAAAGATATATCGGGCAGAAGACAAGAGTCTTAAGGACAAACACGCTGCGATCCTGGATTAACCAATTTATTTTAACTACATCGAAACAAACATTCACTTAGTTCAAGTTCAAGTTCAAGTTCAATGTTATTGATCATGCATAGTTACAAGGCATAAAATTCGTTTTCCGGCTGTTTCTTCAATCTATATAACATCAACTAACATACACTATCAATTTATACAAAATACAAAATCAGGAATAAATACAACACACAATATACATGAGTACAAAATGGTATAGATAAAGAAATTGATGGTATATATGCATTTCTGTCCATGAACAAAACGAATGTCCCTTCTCATTTCATTCGCCATTAACCGTTTTCCGGTGCTGCATTTCAGACTAAAAATTTGTTTTGCTAACTGGAGGCACAAGTATTTTCTAATTAACACGAAGTAATTCTGTCGATAGATATGATATAATATCATAATGAGGCCCATGCAGGCGCGTACGCAGGGGAGGGGGGGGGTGGGGTTAACCCCCCTTGAGTTTTTGTTATGTGTATGATTTTCAGGTGAACCCCCCCCCCCCCCTTTTGATTTTTGATTTTGATTTGATTTTTAATATTAATAAATAAAAAAAATAAATAAAAAACCAATAGATGACCTAAAAAAGATGACCTTACCTCCCCCCCCCCCCCCACCCAACGGAACGAAATGTCGATCGGTCAAATTTTTCAAATTTCGGGACCAAAACAAAAAAAATATGTCCCCTCCCCCCCCCCCCCCCCCCCCCCCCCCCCCCCCCCCCCGCTTATTCATCGGCTGGCTGAGTCGTTGCGAAATTGTTGGGACCAAAACAAAAAAAATGTCCTCTTACGGATTGGGCCCCTCCCCTGCCGCCGGCTGGATCCGCCCCTGCATGCATACCCAAGTCATATGGAAGCAACAAACCCCAGATGAACAACAAACACATTACCGCTTATTTTTTAAAAAGTCAGTCGATTTGGAGTCGATTTGGCGGTGAGACTGAGGTACGTGTATCACAAAACAATGTTCGCTATATTTCAACAAGTTCTAAATATTGATGGCTCTGATTATCCTGGTCTTTATACAGTGCGTCCCAGAAAAAAACGAAACCGAGAATTATCGATGTTTTATCATAACTTAATCACATAATTAATAAATGACACACATTTGTAAAGCTTAGATCCCCCTCTTTCATGTGATGCAACTCATATGATGCATATTTCATGCATGAGTGATTTAAAACATTTCGTAGAGAGGAAACTAAAAAGTAATTTTTAGGGCGGTATCTGAATTTCAAAGAAAGAAAAAAAATCACATTTCTAGAAAGTTCATTTTCTGCCCTTTATATAACTAATAGTCTAATTTTCAGACCATTGTACCAAACGGTCGTACGTTTTATGCTGTGCAAAGATTAAATCAGTTTATTTTTAGGCCATTACAAGAAGTGGGTTAATGATGTAGATATATACTCATATACCCTTTTCACACTTTTTATGTATGTTAATTACCAAAGAAGAAAAAAGGCCAGTCAGTCACTCAATAGTGTCTGACAGTGAAGTGTAGCAAGTAAACGGGTTTCCTTGCATAATTTGAATATTAGGACACTGCTAACGTTTAAACTTCACAGATATGACATAAATGGCATATTCATAATTCCTGCCTAGTTCTACAGAATTTGATGTTGGCTGCAAAAGGGAAATAATATCTTTAAGCCTGCAGATATCCCCATTCCTATAAGCCTATATAAGGCAAGGATATCTGAATAATCTGAATATTACGCGTTGCTTATCGTGTCTCTGTTGGTCAGATACGTACGCTATTTCAAATTCCAAGTTTATTTTGTTTCACATTTCACAAAAAAGAATTCACATTATTGACAAAATTAGAACACAATATGAAATATACTAAAAGTATCACATTATATAATCAATTCTTGGGAAAGACGTCCAAATTAATTGTATCGAATAGTAGGTTATACAGGGTGAAATGTGAGGAACCTATTGAAGAGCTCAGCTCATCAATAACACATTGTCAATAACATGCATAGAATTAAGAGCCAAAGTTGGTTTCCTGTATACTAATGAGATGCACATTATAGCGGAAATTCAACGGGATACGATCGACGTCAAAGGTGAAAGTGTTGACCTCTGGGAAAACCCACCAGTACTAGTAAAAATTCAGGACGCGGCGCTTATTTGCAGTGTTGGTATCATAACCGGTGTATACTTTAGGCTTCATTGGGAAGAGAACTCGTTATTGTGACGTACATGTATTCTCTATTAATGAGTGCAGATATTGAGTTGGCCTGCAGATGTCATGTTTATTCAGCATCGTAGATATACATAATATATTTTAAGTTTACAGCAAACTTTTCATGAAAGTGGATCTTGTTGAAATCATTTAAACGGGATTCTGTGCAGGCTTAATTGCTTTCTCTAATTTGTACTCGATTCGCACATCACATCCATGGCCGAGAAGCAGGAGGGAGAGGACGTTCCGGTCTCTTCACAAGGCTTGACATGTCCACTGTGTCTTGATATCTTCGACGATGCAACCCTCTTGACCTGCGGACATACCTTCTGTCGAACCTGTCTCAGGAAATACGACCTATCCCACCAGGATCTTGATCACATGGTCTGCCCTCTCTGCAGGACAGTGACAAAGTTGTCCGCAAACCGGGTCGACGATCTCCTCACCAATGTGACGGTCAACGGACTCGTAGACGACTACCATGATGCCAGTTCTGGAGGGGCAAATGCCATCCTGAAGATGCGGCAAAAGTGCACTGTCTGCAATCTCCAGGTAGAGCCCATCGCTTTTTGCACTACATGCAATGTATCCATGTGTGACCAATGCCACGTTGGCCACAAACGGCTGCAGATGTTCTTCGAAGGTCATGAGATCGTATCTATCCAGGATATCATTGAGGGAAATGTTACACCTAGTCGCCCCTCCGAGAAATGCTCCGTCCACAGACTAGAGAACAAAGATATGTTCTGTCAGGATTGTAAGATGCGCGTCTGTTTCAAGTGCGTCGTCATCGATCATCGAGATCACAAGATAAAATCACACAAGGACTTCGAAAAGGAAATGCAGGTTAAGGTACGTAGTCCAATGGCAGGTCATTCATGAACGGTCTAAAATATCTTGTTCACTCGAATATGAATTATCATTTGCACATTACCCAAATGTACACCGTTGCCAGATAAATAAATAATATTTTTTTCTTACCTCTTTTCGTGACAATATGATATATTCTTGATAGATATTATATATTTTCAGAACTGTATTTGATCATAGAGATGGATTTAAAAGGGTCTAGGGGGATATGAAATTTATCTATAATTTTTTTTTAATCATATCATCTCAATCATAATATGGAAAGGATTAGAATAAATACTCCAACTATATGGGCAACAGTGAATGCTGTCTAAAAAAACATGATCCCTAATGTATCCAACCTTAATAATAATGAAAATAATCTGTACTTGTAAAGCGCGCATCTCACAAATATGATATGACGTCTCTTTGCGCTTCCAACGGATTTTGGATATCATTACCCTGGCTTTAGCTCCAGCAACCGTAGCGGCCAGTGCCTTCACGGAATAAATCCTACCAGGTACTTATTAACTATACACCTGGGACGGGTTTAATAAATGTTTATTAATGCCTTGCCAAAGAATATATACATATCTTTTTGGATATATGTATTTTTGTAGGATTTTTTTTGGATATATTTTTTAATATAAAAAAAAAGTATCTTTAGATGTAATATACACGCTCGTACACTTCTTTAATCCTTAGCACATTGAACATAATCCTGTGAATTTATTAACACACATTATTATACAGATATATAAGTAGGTTTATTCTGTTGGGATCCTAATCGTCATCTTTGTTGATTTGTCTCCCTCTATTTTGTAATTCACCAAGCATACCAAGTGCTAGTTTCATTGCTGACGGATCAAGCATGTTCAGTTTAAAGAAATAGATGAAATAATCCAATAAAGCAATATATTAATAAATCGTAGATGGTTGATTATGTTACTTGCAGGTTTTCGGTAAATGAATGAAAGTCATGCCATTTCACTTGATTAAAAAACAACTTAATTCAACTATTACCACTTTCTTTCTTTTTTCTTTTTTCTGTACATCTTTCATAAATTCCTTTAAACAATTTTAAGCCACATTTTTGACAGAAGCATTTTAATTATTTGACAGATTTTTGCAGTAGGGCTACCAAATTGTGATCCGGAAAACCTCCAATCGGGAATATTAAAGGCCTTGTCAGATTTGCCGCAAACATGCTGCTACGGGGTTCCTTTAACATGTAAATGAATGGCAAATGCGCGCGACAATGGACTTGCGCGTAATCACCAAGTACTGTGTTATAAGAAACAGAAACGTGTAGCTTATTACACTTTACTTCATCATTAACAAAAAAAAATACGCCGAGGTTTTGCACGCCATATCTTAACGATCCTTAATTTACTATGGTGATTAAAGAATGTGATCAGAATTTCACATTCAAGTGAGAATCATTCTTTTTGCTTCCCTTCAACTTCCGTTCTTCAGGTGAGCGATCTTCTCCATCGTTGTAAAGCCAAGAAATCAGAACTGGAGAAGAACATTCAGACTGTGGAGACACATCGTCATGAAGCACACAGTGTTCTTCAGCTATTACGTGATGATGTCAGTCAAGCCTGTCGTACCAAAGTCAAACAACTAGAAGACAACAGAGGTGTACTCGTTGAGAAGATCGATGTTCTGGAGCGTAGTTTTGATGAAGCCCTCAATGGTCTGAAATCGAATGACCGACAAATGATCAAGAGCATTTGTAGTTCGGTAGATTTGGTGGCTAATGACAGACTAGGATGTCTTGAGACGGACAGTCTGGTTGCTCACACATTCCTTTGCGAAGAGATCGATGGCTTGCTGAAGGAGGTTATTGATCAAACTTCAGCAGCAACCATTAGGGAGAAGGCACAGAAGCAGAGGTTCAAGCCTGCAGCTGACACCAGTCTTGACCTCGGGAATATCACAGAAACGGTTCGAGGACAATTACCCCCTGGCCAATTACCAACGGCACGTTTAACCCCAAACGCCAATTACCTCCCGGAAAATTGCCCCCGACAACTATTATCCTCGGACGCAACCTCTAGGACAATCACCCACACGGTTCAAACCCAGCAAAATTACTATCTATTTGGTCCACGTCAATCATTTGTACCCCGAACCGGTAGCCCAATCACCTCGGACGCAACCTCTAGGACAATCACCCACACGGTTCAAACCCAGCAAAATTACTATCTATTTGGTCCACGTCAATCATTTGTACCCCGAACCGGTAGCCCAATCCCCTACCAAGGAACAAATCCTTTCCAACATATTCAGCCTTCCAAAATTACCACCCATGGACAACCACCCCCTTGGACAAGCACCCCCCCAAGGTTCAAATCCCCCCCAAAATGACCATCTATCTAGTCCCGGTCCAAATTTAGGCCGAACCGGTAGCTCAATCACCAACCAACAAATAATTCCTTCCCAACTAAATCAGTCTAATACAATCACCCACACGGTTCAAACCCCGAAAAATTACTCTAGTCCATGTCAATTACTAGTACCCCGTAGCTTTTACCCCTGAAGGACAACCACCCCTTGGACAAGCACCTCCCAAGGTTCAAATCCCCCCAAAATGACTATCTAGTCCAAGTCCAAATTTAGGCCGAACTGGAAGCTCAATCACCTACTAAGGAACAACTCCTTCCCAACTAAATCAGTTTTGGACATTCACCCCCAAGGTTAAAATCCCCCCCCCCCCAAAAAAAAAAAATAATAATAATAATAAATAAAATAAAATAAAATAAAATAAATAAATAAATAAATAAAATAAATAAAAATAACAAAGTGACTATCTGTCTAGTCTAGGTCCAAATTTAGGCCGAACCGGTAGCTCAATCACCTACCAAGGAACAACTCCTTCCCAACTAAATCAGTCTTGGACAATCACCCCCAAGGTTCAACCCCCCTCAACAAAAAAATTAAAGAAAATGACTATCTATCTAGTCCAGATCCAAATTTAGGCCGAACCCGAAGCTCAAGCAACTACATCGGATCCACTGGCGTACCGAGGGTGGGGGGGGGGGGATTAGAAGGGGCAGTTGGGCTCCCAAATACAATTCAAACGTGATTTATTTCTAATTCGATACCAGCGATTTCCAAATGTTGCTCAAATGGCATGATTTTTATCTGAGCTTCTGGGGGCTCTGCCCCCTGGACCCCACCAAGGAACCTAAAACAGGCCCTTAGTTGCTCATCTGACCGTCATTAAATGCCTAAAAACCTCTGAGCTTCTGGGGGCTAACCCCCCTGTATCCCACTCCAATTAGTGACGTGCCAGTGTGCACAAATAAGGTATCAAAATATGCTCATCTGGCCGTAATAAAATGCCTACAAGCTTTATAGGGGTCCGCCCCTTAACCCCTGCCGGGGCTTTGCCCCTGGACCACGCCAATTTATGCTCCACTTGCTTCGCTCGCTTTGCTCTACCTGATTGTAAATACTTTAGCCCCCCCCCCCCACTTTAGAATATGTTCCGCGGGGCCTACATGTAACATTTAAGAGTGTTGGTGATACGGATTTTATTTTTCTGCCCCCAAACGTTTTTGCTCAGCACGCCACTGCAAGGACCAACTCCTTCCCAACTATATCAGTCCTGCACACCCGCGTAGCTAGGATTTTATTTTAGGGGGCGCGTGCGAAGCGCGCTGCCTAGAGTGGTGGGTGCAGGGTTGCTGCACGGAAGCTTTGATATTTCATTTAATTATTAGAGAAAGAAGACGTTAGTTCTACCGTTTTCGTCTCTTAATCCTTGTCTAAATATTCAAAAATATTTCTTTGTCTGCCCTTTTTCTTCCTACGTCCTCTTACTTTTTTTCTCTTCTCTCTCTCTCTCTCTCTCTCTCTCTCTCTTTTTGGGCCGGCGTTTGTTTGTTTGTTTGTTTTTTTTGGGTTTTTTTGGGGGGACCACCCCCACCACCCCCTGACTACGCACCTTGTCTTCCGGCTTGTCTTGTACAATTACCCCCGGAGGACAACCACCCGCAAGTACAATCACCCCCAAGATAGAAGTTTCGTAGTCGAGTGGTTTAACCAATGATGAACATTCAGAAAACGACGTGTAACACTGGTTCAAAGATTTCCTATCGATATATAGGTAATTTTCGCAATGTAATCAAATTCAATGCATATGTATTTGTTAAGTGCCTCATTACCAATTATTTAATTCACCGGTTACGAATAAACGTATTTAAATAGTCAGAATACATATTGAATATATTATTTGTTGCTAGGTAGGAAAAACATTATGGCTTGCCCTAACTAACAACACATTTATGATCTTGTATTTCAAAGTGACATGACTCTAGTATCTACATGCCGTACAAAGGTACACAGCTATTCTCCAAATGGCGTTCGGAAATCTACAACCGAAGTGACAAGCAATATATGTGTACGTTCTACGGTTGAGTAGTCTGAGTCAATCACATGAAATTCCCATGACCCAATATTTAAATTATGTCTCTATCTACGACCCCTCTGGAAACACACCATCACTTACCAGACATCCGCAAAACGTCAGGTTTGATCGTCACAAGTTCTTGCTACAGCAAACAATATGACGATCCAAGGACAGAGATGGTCTATGACACGGATTGGAATTTCGGAGGTATCTAGAAGCTCTACCTTGTTAGATCCCTACTGGGGTCAACCTGCCGTGGACGAGCAGGACAGGGTATATGTAGCGCGTGTTGATCAAAATACCGACAAGTGCTGATCAGGCTCTATGGCCTTGATGGTCTTAACCTGAAGGAGAGAGTTCAGTTCAATGCACTGCACTTGGCAAAAGATCTTAGTTGGTGTCGCATGCTTTCTCTTACTCCGCAATACTTCGTTTGCGTTTTGCGATAAACTCTATTTTTGGAAGTTAGATTGTAATTGGCTTTGTTTCATTCCTTAGCATCTTAGTACAGACCCTTTTGGATGTTACTGTAATTCACGCGTTCTATGTCAAGAGCGTCGAACATTTCAGGCCAATAAAGACTTTCTTCACGTATTTCTGAACATAGTGATATTACGATTCGATGATTTGATGTCACGAAAATTATATTGCAATAATAATAATAATAATTCAATAGTAATAACATAAGTTGGTTCTTGTACTGCGCGCATGTCTGTCAAACACGACCCTCCTGGCGCTCCACAATTATTACACTGGATTTAGCATGGCTACCATTATGGCACTCTAGCATTTCAAATAATTAATTCCTGCCTGGTACCCATTTAACTCACCTGGGTCTAGTAAGGCAAATATTGATAACATTCTTACCAACTGTCATTAGTGACGTGGCGGGACTCGAACCTCGAGATCCCCAGTCTGGTAACTTATCCACTCGAGCACGACACCTCGAAGTGCAATAGAAGTACAATAGTTGACAGTCGATAATTAAACATTTACGACACTCACACGTGGAGAGTTGTGAAATATATTTGCCATAATTGAGAATCAAGATTTAAATATATGTTTTAAAAGATGTTCTGAAGTACATGTGTTCCAGGATGCATACGGATATGCCCGGAGGAACAATCATGGCATCTTTTTGTTGGGCACCTGCCCTTTTGTACCCCCGTGGATCTAGCACTTCCATTGCAAACAAGATAATATGATATCGAAAATGAAATATGATAATGTAAATGTATGTTTGTAAATATATGAGGTGGAAAATGAAACAAATTCACACCAGAACATATATATATATATATATATATATGTTTAGTGTTCCCGATATGAATTTTAATGTCACCGCCTTACAGTCATGCCATGATGATGTATGAAAGTGTAAGCAAACATATATAAATATGACCTATGTATAGGCAGCTGAAGGATTTGTATACATGTTCAATTATCTTACAATAAGCCGAGTGTTTGATTGAAATTATATGCATATATATATATATATATATTCATATATTTTCCATATGTATATATATTTCATGTAATATAGCACTAATATGAATGACTATCAAATCATTTATGAGGATTCGGTACTTTTTGCTCACCATTACCAACGTTACCATACTTTAAAAACAGCTTGGTAATTTTTTTCCCAATATTGTTTACAAAAAAGAACATGGTTGTTGGGCAAAATATGTGATATAAGTACGACTTTTGTATAGGCAGCTGAAGGATTTGTATACATGTACAAAATATTGTACAATAAGCGTAGTGTTTGCTTCAAATTATATGCATATCTGTATAAATATCTATCTATCTATCTCAACTCAAGCTATGCTTTTGGGGTTTCGTCTCCTTCTGTTATCTGAATTATTTACTGTATACTCTATGTTGAATTCATTGTTTCATACATAATTGATATATACATTGTGTTTCATATTGTACTGTTAAGAAGGAAATAATAATTGTATTATATTTACATACATTTCCCATTTGTATAAATATTTCAGGTAATATTTTAAGTAAATTAGGAATGACTGTCAAATAATGCCATGTGAGCTGTATTTAAGATTGTATCGTTTTACGAACACATCATATTTTCTCACTTCAGTTTTAAGCCCCTAAATTGATATCTGTTTAATTTCTATATAAGTGCCCTTCTAATTTGTACGAAGTTTTTATTTTATTTACAACGCTAAAATTACAAAAGTTATGTATATGCATTCAGCCTATTCGTGGTTGTTGTTTTTCTGATTAAAATCATATATGAGGATTCGGTACTTTATGCTCAACCATTACCAACGTTACCATACTTTAAAACAGCTGAGTAAATTTCTTCCCAATATTGTTTACAAAATGGAACATGTTTGCTTGGTAAAAAATGTACTGGGTAGTATTTCACACATAAACATGCTTGGTCCCTTGTTCACATACTTCCCCCAACTTTATGGAGTGCATTAATATTTATTTTTGCAAGTCATGGAGGGTGATCAACAGACATGACCTTTTAAGATTATACTTTGTTCAGATATGCGGTGTTTTTAAAATCATGTTTATGGTGACTTTATCTGTATAAAGACGCTTCACATTTCAGTACCTGTCAACACGGAGCTCAGTGGATACGTTTAGGACTTTGTTGCGTACTTGCCACTTATTTATTTTTTGTATTTTTTTCGGAAGAGGTTTACCACGTCATATGAACATGCCTAACCCACACCCGCAACACACGTGTCAAAAAGTAAAGGTTTTATCAGAATTAAAAGAAAACACAGAAAATGTGAAGACCTTTTGTTCAGCTAATTCATTACAAAAACATTGTTGTTGTATTTGTGACACAAATACTAATAAAAGCAAGACTTTTACATATTCAAATTTTGATTGTGTTTCATATGTTTCCACATTTCAAAGTAGACGGGAGGCACCATCACCAGTTCGTACAAGTATATTTAAATGTGTAAACATGCGATGATACCACAGTCACTTTGTGAATCCGCCTGTAATGTTGATGGTCAGATAGTTGTCAGCTTCGAAGTAGGTTGGTCACGTGGTGGAAAGTGGACCAATCGGCGTAAAGCTGATTACTGTCCGAGGCAGATTTCATCGTAACCGCCACCAGGAACGTGTCTTGTATGGGTGGACCTAGAAAAAAAAAAAAAAAAAACAATACATGTAAATATATGAATGTTTCAGTAGGTGCTTATTAGTTAAAAATAATCGATTTTCGATCTTACAATTGGTTACAAGATCAAAATCAGTTTAAATCAGTTTTTCATGTTGATCCGTCAGGGCTGTTTCAGGAAGAAAAAAATTAATCTATTTTGAGGCAATATTATGTGTAGTCAATGTGAAAAGCCTTTACAAGAGACGTCCTAATAATTCGACGGAACTTGTAATAAACGTTTGTTTATATACACACTGAAACCTATATTTCATGCCCACCCCTATAAATTATGCACACTTGTGAATTGGAGAATGGAACTTAAAGCTCCTCTAAAATGTTACGAGCCCCATACATGTGATGGCAACATTTCATTTAAATGTTATCATAATGTGAAATTCGTTACATTTTGTTTACAACTATTCTAACTTATACAAGTATCTCAAAGCATTCGCTTGTATCCATCTCAATATGAAGCATGCTGAATGTCACTGTACAAAACAAATCTGCCGCCGACTAAAAAAAAAAAATTTATGAGGGTTGAAACTTGTCAATCTGTCGGTCAAAAGAAAATACCAAATCTAATGCATACGTCTTTGTTAAATGCTTCGATACGAATTATTTCATTCATGTTACGAATATTTATATTTCGATAGTCTTATAGTAGAGGGGAGATGGGAGTGAGATATATATATATATATATATATATATATGGAGAGAGAGAGAGAGAGAGAGAGAGAGGGACATGCATGGGAGAGGGGAGGGAGCTATAAATGTGTATAGAGAGATATGGGGAGGGGAAGGGGTGAGACGGAGATATGAGAGAGACAGGGAATGGGACGGAGAGAGAGAGGGAGAGAAGGTTGTGTGCGTGTGTGTGTGTGTGGTTATTGGGGGTAGAGTAAAGATAAAGGGAAATAGGGGCAGAAAACACGGGGGGACTGTCATCATACAGGATACAGGAGCTGAAAGATTATGAGCGTTCAAAAGCTATGAGCAACGTGTCAAATGGCGTGAGGATAGACGGGCATCAATCTCCTTGTAGGGTCCGCGTTGGTTATAGGCCCCTTCAAGGATATTGCTGCATTACAATAGAACAGAACACACTCAACCTCACGTACACACACTCACGCACACACTTACATACTCAAAATATATATGCCCAACTAACGACACAAACTAATAGACCAGTTTATTAATTTTAACAAATTTCTGTTATTGATTTCCTTGACGACTGAAAAACTTGCAAGACTATTGCCCAAACGATGGCATTAAGAAGAGAAAGTGATTTTAAAAGTTGGCAACTAAGGTTCGGGAGAGAAACGTGCATAAAGTGGACATTATTGAGCTAGTAAAGCCCCTCTAAAGTGTTGGAAGCCCCAAATTCGCCAAAAATGTTATGGCAAAATTTCACTTAAAGTGTATCATAATGTGAAAGAGGATGTCATTGAAGACACACTTCTGCAGAGATTTCACCAAAAAAAGTTTTTGATGACAAATATTGATTTAACAAGTACATATTATTGGGGTTTTCTGTTGTAGCAGAAAACCTAAATTTTGTATTCTTTCATCAATATTTGACTTCAAACACATTAGTTTGGAAGATCCTTTCATAAATTACATAAAATATACATGATGTAGATACATCTTCCAACGTCATTAGACGGACATATTACGTAGAGAAAAATTAATTAAGTCAAATATTAATGAAAGAACATTATTTCCTCACACCAGCATCCAAGTTATATTGATAGCAATATGTTTTTGTGTGGATGCACTATATAAAGTTTTTTCTTCTTCAGTTAAATCATGAAAAATGTGAATTTTTATAAACTATTTATATAATCATATACAAAAAGTAAGGGGGATCTTCGGGCCCTGACATGTAGGCTTCTAAACAAGCATATTTTGTTTGTGCCTATCTTGACTGTAAATTTGGGGATTTGTCATTTTTCCATTTAAAACGCATACAAAAGTATAATTTACTTTACAAAATGAGAAAAACGTTTGAATTTTATAAGGGGAGGCAACTCCCCTAAGCCCCCCCCCCCCAGCAGTACGCCAGTGCGAGGGACGAGGTGGCATAGTGAACGTGAGGGGCGAAGATGACGGCAGTGATCATGATTACCCCCTCACAGGTTTTTGAAGTTTTGTTGTATACAAAAATTCTTTAGTAGAAAACAAAGAAATATACCCTTTTTATCACTTTTACTTTGCTGGTAATAAGTGTGCAGTCCGCAGGGTTGTATATATCAGTTTAGTAGATACACTAAGCAGGGAGCTTGGGCCTCGGGTGGGATTCCCACTCTAGGCCTCTTTCTTAAATATAAGTGCATAATGATATCGCTATGGGAGTTAAAATAGCAAACATCAGCCTGATAAATATATAGACTTTGTTCTAGTGACTCCTTACACAAAAGAGCAAGCGGAATATTCAATTTTTGTAGCAATTATTTATTTCTGTAACTCTTAATTTTGTCATACAGTACAAACTGCGCTTACGTGATACCAACGAAACACAGGATATTATGTGAGGGAGGTTAGCGACCGAGTGAGAAGGTTTTTGCATTTGTATTTATAGTCTAAACGCTGCACTCCTGGGCCCTCCAGAGTCTAAAAGTGTGTTGCAGTCTCTTAATGTGCTCTTTTTCCGGTGGGGACGATCCCCTCTTTAAAAAAATGAGTAGGGGGACGTCCCCCCCCCCCCCTTCCCCAGGATCACCTCCTCAGCTAAATACGTACGCTTCACTTGAAGGACGTGTACCTAGAAAGGACAAACTTGGTTTATTAAATACTGAGATTAATACAAAAGCATGTCTAATAATTAACCCAGGTCCATGATTTAATCGAAGTGATGGGATCGAGCTCAAAGGTTAAAATTATGATCTCTGGGAAGACCCATCAGTATTACTGTCTTAGTATCAAATTGAGGCGCGGCGCTTATTTGCAGATCGAGTAGGCACCATAACGTTGTAAAGTTTACATTTGGGTATAGAACTCATATGATATTGTGACGTATTCTGTAATAATCAGTACAGATATCGAGTTAGGCGTGCATATATCATGTTTGTATCACCATCAGGATTGTAGCAGATCTACATATACTCTTCAGGTATACAACAGACTCTTAATATGAAAGTGAACCACGTTAAACACATTTGAGCAGGATTTTGTGCAGGCTTAATTGCTTTCTCGAATTTGTCACCGATTCGCGTATCACATCCATGGCCGAGAAACAGGAAGAAGAGGACGTTCCGAACTCTTCACAAGGCTTGACATGTCCACTGTGTCTTGGTATCTTCGACGATGCAACCCTCTTGACTTGCGGACATACCTTCTGTCGAGCCTGCCTCAAGAAATACGACCTATCCCACCAGGATCTTGATCACATGGTCTGCCCTCTCTGCAGGACAGTGACGAAGTTGTCTGCAAACCGAGTCGACGATCTCGTCACCAATGTGACGGTCAACGGACTCGTGGACGATTATCATGTCAGGTCTGGTGGGACAAATGTCATCCTTGACATGCGGCAAAAGTGCACAGTCTGCAACATCCAGGTAGAGGCCATCACTTTCTGCACTTCATGCAATGTTTACATGTGTATTCAATGTCACGTTGGCCACAAACAACTAAAGCTGTTCTTCGAAGGTCATGAGATCGTTTCTATCCAGGATATAATTGAGGGAAATTTCAAACCTGGTCGTCGCTTCGAGAAATGTTCAGCCCACAGACAAGATAACAAAGATATGTTCTGTCAGGATTGTAAGATACGCGTCTGTTTTAAATGCGTCGTCATTGATCATCGAGATCACAAGATAAAATCACATAAGGACTTCGAAAAGGATATGCAGGTTAAGGTACGTAATCCAATGACATGTCATTCATGAGTGGTCTAAAATACGGTCTTGTTCACTCGGTTATTATTATTATTATTTCTATTTACATATTAACCAAATGTACACTGTTGCCAAATAAAGTTATTACAATTTTTCTTACCTCTTTTCGTGATAGATAGATAAAGATTATATCTTCTCAGAACTGTATTCAAGATCATAATATAATGATCGGTCAAACGCGATAATGTGTGATTCATTTACTGAGACTATCCCATGTCTTTAATAAAAAAAAAGTGTGTAATAATCCAACGATTTTTAAATACGCGACGCCCAGAAGTGCCCAAAATCTTAAAATCTACGCTTGGCTTTTTATTAAAGTTAGTTTTTATTACCTTTTTTTTTTAAATGAGATATTTAATGAATCAAATATCATGTATAAAGAGAAGAAAAAAGCAAAACAAACATTAACAAAATAAACAAAATCAACCGACAGACTCAACTTCCCTACTACTTTCGTTCTTCAGGTGAGTGATCTTCTACATCGATGTCAAGCGAAGAAATCAGACCTGGAGAAGAACATTGAGACAGACAGGACACATCGTGAAAAAGCACACATTGCTCTTCAGCTACTACGTGAAGATGTCGGCCAAGCCTGTCGTATCAAGGTCAAGCATCTAGAAGACAACCGATGTGCACTCCTTGAGGAGATTGATGCTTTTGAGCGTGGATATGATGACGCCTTCAACGGTCTGAAATCGAATGACCGACAGATGAAGAGCGTTTGTAGTTCGGTAGATCTGATGGCTCTGGTGGATAATGACAGACTAGGATGTCTCGAGACGGACAGTCTGTCTGCTCACACATTCCTTTGCGAAGAGATCGATGGCTTGCTAAAGGAGGCTGTTGATCAAACCTCTGCAGCAACCATAGTGAAGAAGGCACTGAAGCATATTAGGTTCCAGCCTGCGGCTAACACCAGTCTTGACCTCGGGAATATCTCAGATCCAGAACGCGATCAACAACTGTTTAGATCAGCACTAGGTACTTGGTAATACCATACACATGGAGATACCGAAAAACAGCTTTTGGGGCTAAAAGTGTGTCTTTACCATGTGTAAATAAAATAAACACATAACATCCGTTGAATTGAATTGCCATTTATTGTCCATTCAGGAAATTCTTTTTTCACTGGTTTTACAACCACTGTTCTTGTCCATAATACAAGAAACAATACACTTGACAATTGAATAGCAAGTGTAGGCCTACATCATCACAATAGCATTCTAAAAATAATTATTACATTGATAACTGAACAACAACATTGATGTAAACTGCATCTATATTACCATTTCAAGTGAGATTCGAACCTCTAAGCTTCCAATGATGTATGTTTTTAAGTTTGTACATGTGTATGAAGGCGCGTACGCAGGGAGGTGGGGGGGGGAGGGTGCTCCTTACCCCCCCCCCCCCCCCACTGAGGGAAATATCGGTCTCCTTGAAAAAATCCTGCGTATTAAAGCCACTGTGTGTATGTACAAATATGGGCTCTGTGTGGTGTTAGGAGTGTGTTTGTGTGGTGACAATGACAATTTTATTCTCATGTCACCCACATTTTGGGTATCGGAGAAGTTTACTATAGGCGATGTCACACAGAAAAATCCCGACCAATCTTATATAAACTAGATTTTAGTAATCTAGTTTTTTCATTTACGTCGGTGACAGACTGGTGACAGACAGGCTACGAATAAACCGGATAACTAAAATCTGAATTTTTGATGGGCCATTGCGCATGCGCCGTTTAGGTAGATAAGCATCGTGACATCACACGTTCAATCAAAAGTAATGCGCAATTAACGCGTCTCATTAAATGCGCACTAATATAATTGTCAAACGTTGACCTTACACTGATCTTCAAGGGGATTATTTCAACATTGGTGTCAGACAGAATATTCCCTCAAAAAATCCCTTGAAAAATCCTTTCAAGAGTGAATTATCTTGCTTCGGTAGTGGATTTTTGAAGGGATTTTGAAGGTATAATTGATGACAGACAGCCAATTAAGAGGATAACTTGAATCCGGATAACCAAAATCCGGATTTTTGGCCTCTGTGTGACACCGCATAATCAGTTTGAATTTGTCAATTAAACGCTGTAAAATATGTGTGTGAGCGTGTGTGCGTATGCGTGTAAATGTGCGTGTTTGTATGTGTGTGTGCGCTCGCGCGTGTGTACGTACTTGTGTGTGAGGAAGGTTTATGAATATTTTATAGAGAAGTTACAAAAAATTACTTGTTTGCAGATTCACGATGGACGGGGATTTTCTTAATTTTCAAATGAGGTATATAGGGACATATTTAGTAGGCCTAGGAAAGTTACTCTTGTTAACAGACTAAGAACTTCAATATGAACTGCTTCATGGAGCAATATAAGTAAACAATAGAACACTTTATTGAAATCCGGCTTTGTTGAAGGTAACTTGTGCTCATTTCGTAAGCAAAAGATTGAAATATATTTACACTTGTTCTGGGAGTGTGTACATGTTCAAAGGTTATGGCATAATTTAATAGCTAAGTTTGAGCTTACGGAATTAAGATCCGTCGATTGTTCGGATTTTCATTTATGGTCGTCCTGTAATTCCCCATGAAAAAAATATTTAATACAAATACTGGACTATTGTAGTATTGTAGCCTCGCTTTAATTATTTATTCACTCTAAAAACAAATTACGGTTATTTTGTTGCTCCAACTTTAGGTAATCTGATGAGGCCAGGAACAGTATTATATGTGGTATGTGTGTGAAAGTGTAGTCGTGTGGTTGGCATGTGTGTGCGTGTGTGTCGTGTGTCGCATGGTTGGGGTGGTTGGGGGGGGGGGGTAGTCGAGTGTTTGGTTGGACGGGGTTATTTGTGTCATGTTACAACTGGTTGAAATTTTTTTCATCATCAATCGTACAATCTATCTATATTGAGAATGTATTGAATTATGAAAAACAACTGTATTTCTAAGAAAGACTTGTATTGTTTTGGAATCAATACATATAAAAACTATGTAGGTTTTTTTTTATAATCTTTTTTAAATCATTTTTTAAAAGCAGCATATCGAATTCCAAGGGGCCTATAACAACCCCGGTCCCTTTTTTTACCGTTTTTTTTTAATCAAATATCTTATAAATCAAATATTATGTATTAAAGAGGGGAAAAAAAGCAAAACAAACATTTAAAAAATAAACGAAATCAACTGACAGACTCAGGTGCTGGCACGTGAAGGGCAATGCGTTGTTGGCATAATACTATGTAAATATGAATGATATGAGCACATTCAAAGATGAAGTGTATTGTTGGAACTTTCAATGTTCAGTGTTATTTTACACGCTCGTAAACCTAAGAAAGATTTGTTACATTGAACATTATCCTATGGATTTATTAATAGACATACAGTTATAAGTAGGTTTATTTGGTTGGGATCCTCGTCGTTGTCTCTTTTTATGATCACGCTATTTGACACTTTACCCATATTTTTTTTAACACTCATAACTTTGTTATTAAAAACAAGATTATAAAAAAAGTCTCGCAGCTCATAATATCCTGTATGATTAGAGCCCCCTCCTCTGTGTTTTATTCACTTTATGTATACCTTCTTTTACACACACACACAAACACACACGCACACACGCATGCACTCACACTCACACACACCATATCTCTCTCTCTCTCCCTCCCTCTCTCTCTTTCTCTATCTCAGTCCTCTTTTTTTCTTGTCCTACTCCATCAGCACCACGTGGAATGTTTTCAGTCGATGCCTTTCCCCTTCTGTCATTCTCGCCCACAACAAGTTAAAGCGGCGATCGATGCCATAACGATTGTATCAGTCTTCTTCAAGTGAATCTCTAATTATTCAGAGTTTAGAGAATCAGCATTTATTTCTGAATTAATCAGCAATTTCCGAATTAACCACAACGCAGAAAAAAAAAAAAAGAAACAGCGATTTAAAATTAATTTGGAGAACCATGTAAGACAAATTGGGGACATAATACAGAGTGCAAAGAATTTTACAACAACGACACGTATATAAGGCAGTAGGGAAACAGGTGTCACTTCTTTCTTCAGAAATGAAGTTTAGGGTCGGGCGGATTCTAGAAACTAGCAACGAAGTATAAAGATTTAGATCTTGAATTTTCTAAAGAAAAATAAGTGAAATATAGAAATGAATACATCTGTAGATGGGGAATGATAATGTTATAATTAAAAGTCAATACTTTACCTTTACACCGTCCCGCCCCTCCTCCTTCTCTCTCTCTCTCTCTCTCTCTCTTTCACTCCCCTCTCTCTCTCTCTCTCTCTCTTTCACTCCCCTCTCTCCCCATCTCTCTCTATATACTCATAGATCTCTCTCCCTCCCTCTCTCTCCCCCTCCCCTCTCTTTCTCTCTATCCCTCCTGCTCTCCTTCTGTCTCTCTCTCTCTCTACCCTCTCTCCCCTCTCTCCCCTCTCTCGATATATATCTCCCATCCCTCCTCTACAATATGTCAATAATACTATCGAAATACAATTTTTCGCAACATGAATAATATAATTCGTATCGAAGCATTTTATATACAAAGACGTATCCATTAGATTTGGTTTCATTACGAAAATGGTCTTTTGACCGACAGATTGACAAGTTTTAAACCCGGGGGTAAATGAGTTTTGTACAATAACAATCAGCATGCTTCAGCTGGATCCAACTCACATATCCCTGATCCAAGCGAATGCTTTGAAATACTTGTTTAAGTTAGAATAAATGTAAACAAATGTAAGGAATTTTCTCGAGAGTTGTCAAAAGCTACATTTGTATAGTTTATTTCCTTACATTTGTGGAGTATCACATTGATCCATCATATAAAATAGTAAAAGAAAGATACGTAATAGATGTAAAATTTTACACATAACTGAAACGAATAGGCATTGGGAAAGAACACCCTTTTCTTTTGGTGAAACTACTTTATTGAGTTATCCCGATATTTATATGAATTTTCGGATCGTCATATATATGTAAAACATTGCATCGTACATGCATATTTGAAGCATATGTATGGAAATAAAAACGTGATAAAAATCACTGCATCGTTCGAACTTTCTCTAAACTCTGATACTCCCGAAATATTTTACTTTTCGACATCTAGTATGATATATTTTCTCTGTTATCAAAATATTAATGGACTTAGAGCTAATTAACAAAGAATCACAATGATGACAACTATAATAAGAATGAATATTAAAAAAGATATATATAATGATTATTATGATGATTACGATAAGAATAACAATTATTATAATGATAAAAATGATAATTGTAATGAGAAAAATTATAATTATAATGTAAATGATAGTAGAATTTGTATTCCTTTACTCACTTTTTTACATAGACATGACTTTTAAAAGCCAATATGATAATATGATAAAAGTAATCATGTAATTTGAATACCCCACACCATGTACACATAAACATTTATGTAAATTGCAACAGCTTAAAGCCTACCAGAAGGGAAATATAAATGTTCGTTAAGTTAATCACTCCTGAAACTTAGAAATATAACGTACAAAAAACTAAATGCAGAAAGACAGTTTTATCAGGTATCTGGCTGAAACTGTGAAAACAAAGAAAACAATTTTCGGCTAACGAGGGTAAGCAAATTATGAATTCACAGTTTGATTGTCTGTGTATACATATTTGAGTCATATATTTCCAGGCATTCTAAATAGTTTTCTATTTCCTACACCTATATAATTACATTTTGATACATAAAACTGTTATTGCTTAGGGGTAATCATCAGTGGCGGATCCAGGGGGGGGGGCCCCGGGGGGCCCGGCCCCCCCCCCCCCCCCTTGAGAAAAAAATCATGTAAAATCATGTGATTTTTACCTTTTTGGGGGGTTGGGCCCCCCCCCCCCCTGGCGCTCAAGGGGGGGGGGGGGTGCAAATTGAAAAATTTTCGAGGACCAAAAAAAAAAAATGTGCTCACTACCCCCCCCCCCCCCCCCCCCCCCCCCCCCCCCCCCCCCCCCCCCCCCCCCCCCCCCCCCACTGAGCGACTTTTCGGCCGGCGCGATTTTCAAATTTTCGGGAGCAAACAAAATGAAGAAAGTTGGGCCCCCTCCCCTAAGAAATCCTGGATCCGCGCCTGGTAATCATAAAGTCATGAACTCTAGGCTTCTATCAACCTAAACTTTAGTGGTATATGCTGATTGCATCCACTCCGATATACTTTCTCAAGCAAAGTGATTCACAGTTTTTAGGGGGTGCTGTCTGCTGCCTGAAATATACATAATATGATCGAACCCTTACTATAGCCAATGCACACAGAAACTACTTCGAAATATCAAAGTATAAAAGCCTCGTACAGATCGATATGACACGACAAAACCATAGCGGGTTTTTTACGATGACGTAAAGTGAGACACGTTTCTTATTGCTGTGTCTTATAACACAGAGATCAGTTGCCATTCATGTACACATATGATAACCGTAGCGGGATTTTTGTGGCGCTATACCGCGTTATTTACTGAACGAGCCTTTATACTTTGTTATGAATTACACTTTGAAAATACATTTTTTTTTTCTGAATAAGAATCAGTACTTGGAACGTGACTTAAATCACTCTCTATCTCTCGGTAAGCTAGTAACATTGATGAATGTCATCTTCGGAAGATGGTCACATGATGGAGAACAGACCAATCAGCGTGAAGCTGATTAATAACCGAGGCAGATTTCAGTGTAATCCTGACCGGCGATATGACCTGTTGGCGCAGAACAGGCAAGAAACAAAATAGTTCCGGGTTACATAATTGCGAACTGGGTGGGACTTGTGGAATAATACCTTCCAGCTCTCTCTCTCTCTCTCTCTCTCTCTTTCCTGAAATCCACTATTTTACTTATTTCTTACACTCTCTTTATCTCTCTCTCTCTCTCTCTCTCTCTCGTTCACTCATTCCCTCAGTCTTTCTCATCTCCATGTATCATTTTTCAAGTGGCAGTAAAGTTTCCTGCTCCCTCCCGTGACGCTGAATTGCTGACTATGGTGAGCAATCGATGCCTTTCATTATTCAAGGTATTTCAAAAGCTAAATATTGATCGTTAGTCATTAAGGCATTTTTTTGTTGGTGGGGGTTAATATAATTTACAAAAAGGCACCAAGTCTGAACGATTCAAAGTTAATGAAATAAAATCAGACTAGAAGACACAACATTATGATGGGTGTGCATTATCAAACAATTAAATAACGACGAAACTTCTTTGGAAACCTACTAAAGACGGAAAAAGCCGGCGTCGTTTCGTCGTCATAGTTCTAATGGGATGGGACAACATCTGCACACCACTTGAAATAATTTAGATTTTAAAAATATATATATCGATAACAGAGAACATTATTGGATTTTTAGACAGAGATCTTGGACTAAAGCATAGTAAACTATTCAAAATTTAAACTTGGGATATTTTTTTTGATCAGCGAGGGAAAGAGGGAGATAGAAAGAGAGAGAGAGAGAGAGAGAGAGAGAGAGACGGAAGGGAGGGGGTAGAGAGAGGGGGAGACAGACAGAGAGAAGGGGGAGTATTTAAAGCATTGCTTGCATGACGCTATAACTACTCACCGTGGCGCTCAGGAATTGCCTCGCAGATTTCATTATAGCGCCCTCTGTCCCTGAGACGCTGGAAGGCGTCATTCCACCAATTCACCAGGTCACGGTTGGTGTGTCGTGTCATGATCGAGGCACCGCCAGCCAGACAGTTGTTATCGAAGTTTGGCGGTGAAATGAGTTTCAGCGAGCTCGTGAACTGACTCAAAGATTCACCGAATGCCACGTCAATCTTTGAAAAAGATAGGGAGGAAGGATAATTTTTAAAAGTATTCATAACATTGCTCAGTAGAACAAAAACAACGTTTTGAAAGGGAGAGGGATTTTACTTCGCATAAGATTAAAATGGATTTTCTACATGCAAGCCAAGGCCTACCAGGCCTCATTGTGCAGTTCTTTTTCATTGGTAAGTTTTCGAAAAGAGGAAAAGAAGAAAAGGGAGATGAAGGGAGAGAAAGGGAAGACGTAGGGGTAGAGGGATAATATGAGAACAAAAAGAAGAAAAATAAAAAGAAAGACCTGAGTACAAGAAGGAGAAGAAGGAGTAGGAGGATATCTGATATGTTACAATGATGGGGATGAAAGTAATGAACATGACGCCGTCGACAATGAGGACGATGATAATGGCAATGATTATAATCACCGAAACGTCACGAGTTACATGTCAAACTATGCAGTATACGCTATGGCTTTGAAAATTAAAAAAGTTTAACTTGTATCATGTATAACTTTAAAGTAATAGGCTGCATTATGTAGTACTTTAGATTTATCATAATTCTTATTCGAACAAGTAGGTTTTCGATTGTTTATCATGCATAATTTCTCGTATTATTGAAAACGAATAATATGATGTAAAATGGCTGTGTACATATGTTATTCCCTTTTAAGGTGACTGTCCCCATGGTCTGAGTCTGAGCTGTTGGTCACTCTAGTTTAAACACCAAATAAATACATTTTTAGAAAAGGAAATAATCACCTGTTCATTCAGGATTGCGTCGATCAAGAGCTCAGCTGATTGGTAGTGGAATATCTGGTTGGCACTGAGCGTAGAACCCTGTATGGGGGATGAAAGAACAGTAGAGAGGCATACAAACAGGAGGACAGACAGAGGGGGAGCAGAAGAAGATGAGGTGGAATCGAGAGAAGGAAACGTGGAGGGGGAAATAGAGTAAAGAAGACGAGGAAGGGGGAAAGAGATAAGGAGACAAGGAGGGGGAATAGAGTAAAGAAGACGAGGAAGAGGGAAAGAGATAAGGAAACGAAGAAGGGAAATAGAGTAAGGAAGACGAGGAAGGGGGACAGAGATAAGGAAACGAAGAAGGGAAATAGAGTAAAGAAGACGAGGAAGGGGGAAAGAGATAAGGAAACGAAGAAGGGAAATAGAGTAAAGAAGACGAGGAAGGGGGAAAGAGATAAGGAAACGAAGAAGGGAAATAGAGTAAGGAAGACGAGGAAGGGGGAAAGAGATAAGATGTACTCGTAAACTCTTCACTCGACTCGAACCAAGTAAGTTTTGAGATTGATTTAAAACAAATATTGAAAATCATGAGGATAATGGGAAATGGCAGCATAAAACAGGCTTTAACAAGATTTGATTTGACGTGGTCAACAAATGATCTTCTCTTGAAAAGCTTGCCATGATATAGTGCTTTTAAGTCCTAGAAGGACAAAACAGTTACCACCAGTTGAAATTTCCAACTGGTTCCAGTTAAAGTTAACTGGAACCAGTTATAGATTCAACTGGAACCAGATAAATTCAACTGGTTCCAGTTGACTCTAACTGGTTCATGATGCACATCAAGCGGATATATGGTGCGACTGCATTTCATTTAACTGGAACCAGTCCTTAATGACCAGTTGCGCCAGTTAATAACTGGCCGTCTGTGTGCCCCGCTGTGGGCATATTTCCAGTTACGCCAGTTGATAACAGGTCTGAGGGCATATTTCCAGTTGCGCCAGTTAATAACTGGCCGTCTGTGTGCCCCGCTGTGGGCATATTTCCAGTTGCGCCAGTTGATAACAGGTCTGTGGGCATATTTCCAGTTGCAACAGTTGATAACTGGCCGTCTGTGTGCCCCGCTGTGGGCATATTTCCAGTTGCACCAGTTGATAACTGGTCCGTGGGCATATTTCCAGTTGGCCAGTTGATAACTGGTCTGTGGGCATATTTCCAGTTGCCCCAGTTGATAACTGGCCGTCTTTGTGCCCAGCTGTGGGCATATTTTCAGTTGCACCAGTTGATAACTGGTCCGTGGGCATATTTCCAGTTGGCCAGTTGATAACTGGTCTGTGAATTTCAACTTGACCAGTTAGAATTTGACCAGTTGAATTCCAACTGGACCAGTTAGAATGTGACCAGTTGAATTTCAACTGGACCAGTCAGAATTTGACCAGTTGAACTCCAACTGGACCAGTTAGAATTCAACTGGTCAAATTCTAACAGGTCCTTGGGCAAATTTCCAGTTGACACCAGCTAATTTGCAAAATGGATATGGGGTGCGTGTACATCTATGTTTCAAAACAATTTATCTGAATTTACAGCACATTTCAATATGCAGGGTTATCAGTTGGCTTCAACTGGTTCAACTGGACCAGTTGCAACTGGATTTTTCTTCTTGGGTTAAAAGAAAATATCAGTAAATTTGATGACGAATAACCTTTCTTTACAACAATAAATTATAATGTTGTGCTCTACAGAACATCATAACTCTATGTATTTTACATCAGCATTTAATACATTGACATTTATTTGGTCATTTTATTTACCGCGATGTTTGTGTAGCGGGCGAGGCAAAATTCGTCCGCATTCCAGCCATCCAGAAATCCAACTTTCAGATTGGTCAAATTGTTATACGTCACTGTGCTGTCATTCTTGGCGTAGAGGGCGACAGAGCCTCCTTTGTTGTATGGCACTGTGAAATAATACGTCAGCAGGCGATCGAAAGTTTGGACCCAACCTGAAACAAAATATGTAGGATGCTAAAATAAGTTGAGAAAATAAATCCTTTTTGTTTTACATGACGATTAAGATAATAACGTCAGAAGAGTAGGTTTTGATTGAAATCATAAATTCAAAAATTTCATTTCCAATTTATTTAAAGCTACGCATTTTCAGATGTAGTCTCATTTTCCACTCAAGAATATGTTTTGATAATTAAAATTTGCCATTTTTTCCCCCGAAAGGCAAGAAACTACAGGATACAGTGAAATAAAGATTAAACAAGTAATTTGTTGTTGATAGGTGATGTCACAAGACGAATGAGATCAGGAGCAATTTTTTCAGGGTGGAGCTTAGCAGGTCTGAAACAATTATTTAAAAACATATCTAAAAATCTATGAAATATATTTAGATGTTTGAATAACATAATATGAGTTGTATGCAGCCCTGCACATCAACAGGAATCAACTTATATTTAGCTCTCACCCGACCTTTAAAGAGAGTTTAAATATAAAAGAAAGACACTGCGCATGTATCATGGTAGCATTCATAATTATGATATTATTGGATATTTATATAGCGCACATATAGATCAAGACGCACCAACATTGCCCCGGTTCTGCTAGGCAGCCGATTTCGGCGCTCACAGCATTTAAGGAATTCCTTCCTACCGGTACCCATTTGATACATGGGTGGGGAGTGGCACATTGTAGGTGAATATCTTGTCAAATGGCATTAGTGCCGTGGCGGGGGTCGAAACGCGGACTCTGTGATTCACTGTCCGACGACTCATCCACTAGAACACAACATCTCTAGGTTTATTATCATTTTCTATGTTATTCAAGAAAATTAGTTCTAATCAATTGAAGGCAAAGATAATATATGTCCAAATATCAAAATAGACATATAAATGAATAAATGAATAGATAAATGAATAGCTTAATGAATTAATAAATAATTCAATTAATCAATAAATCAATAAATAAGAATAATAACTCACCTGTACATCCATCGTACCATCCGCCCATGAGCCCTGGGCCACCCCTGGGCCGCTCACCCGCTTGGCTGTCCCAACAATGTTCGTAGACGTCATAAACCAGTTGACAGTTCTTGTTCGCTATCGAACACACTGAAAAAAATAAAGTAATAATGGAGCATTACATGTAATTCAAAAGAACCTTAATAGTGGTGGTTATTTTACCTGACAGCTAAGACAGCTAAGAAAGCAATTGCATAAAGATGATTAAAATTGTTTATAATATGATGAAGCAGATCCTAATCAAATAATTGGTTGAGAGCGTACACGTGACCAGGCATTTATTTTGCCTAACACGTAATTTTACTAATGACCGGTCATTAGTAAAATCATGTTTTAAAACATCCTTTCATAAAACAATAAAACATTATCTTATAAAACTTTGTCTATATCCCCTCTTATTCTCCCCTTACTATATCCCCCTCACTCTGTGTTCCGTTTGTTCTCTTTCTTTCTTTAACACAATCACAACTTTTTTTTCGAAAAAATCAACTGAAGATCAATCTCGATAGCCTATTGTATGCCGCAAAGATATCATGTTCGGAGTGTGTTATACGTCATTGTCATTGTCGCAATGATCAATAGGCTACGCACAAAGCCATTACAATTGCCTGAGGTTGTTCTTTCTTTACATCCATCCCTCTTCTTACCTGCATCCACCATGTCTGGGCCAAATCCCTTGATTGTGTATGTCGTCTCATCCCTGTAACCATGTAAACGGTGACATGGATTAGATTAGCATGACCACTCAACTATTTAACCTATTTCTAAAAATTAGCAATATGCTCTCACATACACTCTCACACACACACACACACACAAACATATTGACATTATATACGCCCATAGTTACTCACGACCTCGAATACATCAGTGATCCGATGAGATCGGTTATCAACAAATCATATCGCCACTATCACTATTACAAACATCAGTAATATCATTTCATCACATCGCAATCATCAGTATCAACATTTTCATCATAAATGTTTTTATGAAAAAGCAGCACTAAGCAAAAATACCACCGCCTACTCCACTAACAACATCATCAATATCATCATCATCATCATCATTATCATAATCATAATCTCATAACTATCATTATCGCTAACATGCTCTAGCTACGTACGCCCACTCAAGGTACACTTACAAATATTCCAAGACATCATCATAGTGACCGATGGCAAAGAGCCAGACCTTGTCATCACTGCTGCCTAATTCATGAAAGAAAATGAAAACAAAATGAAATGCTTATTCAATCGACAGTAAAGTTATAAGACCGAGAAAACAAAGACCTTATGCCTTAAGCCCCTGGCACACTATACGACCCGACTCCGATCCGATTTTGGAAGAATTTGCATTAGGATTTGATACAAACATTCATACATGTAAAAGATTTATGACCTAGGATCTGACTATTCATATGATTAAGAAAATCATATCGACATCAGGTTGACACCAGATAGACATTAGACCGACACCAGACCAACATTTGACATACAGGCCTGAATTCACAAAGGAGGTTTCTCGACAAACCTAGGTTTATGTGCGTCATATGACGCGTTTTGACGCGTTTTGACAAACCTAGGTCTGTAAAAACGCGTCAAAACGCGTCATAATGACGCACATAAACCTAGGTTCGTCGACAAATTGAATTCGGGCCACACAGTCCAAAATCAGACCAACAAAAATGTATTATTTAGGCTATAAGGAGTCACAGACGGCATGCAGTCTAAAATGGAGTCGATTAGGCAGTGTGACTGAGGTGCAGAACCCCATTCCCACAAAGGGACCGACACGAGACTGAAACCTGATCGAACAAAAAGATACATGAGACTGAAAGGCCAAGAATCAGTCGGTTTGGGAGTCGGTTCTGCGGTGTGGCTGGGGTGTAAGACCCCATTTCCACCAAAGGAACCGACACGAGACTGATACCAGATCGAACAAAAAGATACATGAGACTGAACGGCCAAGAATCAGTCAGTTTGGGAGTCGGTTTTGCGGTGTGACTGAGATGTAAGACCCCATTTCCACCAAAGGAACCGACACGAGACTGATACCAGATCGAACAAAAAGATACATGAGACTGAAAGACCAAGAATCAGTCGGTTTGGGAGTCGGTTCTGCGGTGTGGCTGGGGTATAAGACCCCATTTCCACCAAAGGGACCGACACCAGTCTGATACCAGATCGAACAAAAAGATACATGAGACTGAAAGGCCAAGAATCAGTCGGTTTGGGAGTCGGTTCTGCGGTGTGGCTGGGGTAAAACTTCTGAGTCTATTGTCTATTTTCCAGACTGGTTCTTTTGAACCAGAAACCAATGAATTCCCTTCTCGTTTTATAGAGCCAGTTTCATTCTTTCATTCCCTTTATAAAGATGAATTGGAAAGCATTAGACTGTACAAATGTAGGGGCGTGTACTTCACCGCTGAATCACTTTGAACTTTATCACAAATAACTACAATAAAATAACTTTAACCCACATACAACATAATGCGCAGTGTCAACAACATATATAGAGGCCTGGCAGTGACGTACATGTATATCAAATACATCTCCAAATCTGCCTACGCAATGATGATTATATATTGATCGACACAGACTTACTTAAAGGGATCCGGTAACTTTGTCTTAGATCCTTTAAAAGAAATGTGTATTGACTGCACGCATATACATGTACGTGCTTTTGTGTGATGTGTTAGGTGTGTTAAAATCGGATTTTAAAACACCTCTTGAAACCTTTTATCAACATGGATTTGGTAATAAAATGATGGATAATTTAAAAAAATCAAGTTGATATCAAATTCATTGAATTATGTAGCATGTAAAATATAAATTTTGAGCCGAAAATTTGTTTTGGGGGATAACTTTTCCCCTAAGTTTGGCCAGTATCTCGGACCTTGATTGAAAGATCAAAGGATTAGGGGTGTTCATTGCAATTGATAAGCACTTCTTCTATGCTCTGTGATTTTTCAGGAAATGTGGGCATGGGCAGTCGCCCACCCCCCATTCCGCCCCTTCCAGCCGCTTGTTTTATAATCGTGCCCACGACTTTCCAAGAGCCGTTCTTTTTTTTTGCCGGATCAAGGTCCAGTCGAGTTGTGGTCTAATGGCTACTTCATGTATGCTTCTTATTGAGTGGGCTGGTCGCACCAAACTTTCAAAACCAATTTTCAGTCCCAGTCCACCCCCAGAAACATCAAGTGAGTTTTGTGTCAAAGCCATTTGTTTCTGTTTGATTTTACCACATTGAAATGGCATCCAAAGACATAATAGATTAATTTCTATGGTCAACTTGTGATAGGAAGGCGAGGTAAAGCATTTTTATAAAGTCACACCTTTCTGCTTAGGCGAATACGAGGTAAACAAAATGGTCACGGTCCCCCTCGTACAGAAAGAAAACAAATAATGAAAATAATGAAATTTAAAAAAAATCTAGGGATAAAACACTGGCCTGCGAACCCCTCCGTTTCAGAACCAAGGTGTTTACTCCACTCCCACTATACAAAGGTGTCAACGGGTACCTGGCGATGCTGGGTTAATCGTATTAGGACGCCGGAAGAGCAGGTGGCTCCGTAGGTAAATCAAACCCCATTATTGTATACATGAATAAAGATATAAATCTCCCCAATAAGCCCATTGCACACAAGGCTTCATTTTGGTTCTGCTATTCCCTGCTATTAATCAAGACTGTTAATGCAATAAACCCCATACGCCAGCTATTAAAGGAATTTTGCTTTTTTAGTGCGGGCGAGGGCAATAATTTCTGCACGGTGTCATTCTCATATGACCACATCAGTCAATGGCGGCGTGATACATCAAGAAATTAATTGACGCATCATATGTATCTTTGACACCTTTATTAAAGCGAATGTGTAATGATCAGCGCAAACGTTGCTTTGAATTTGCTTTCACATGCGTCGTTCGGGACTTTTAGATTTGCACGTCGACATAGTGGACTGCTACGTGTGACGTCCTTTTAAGGCAATGTGACGTGCACACCTTTAAGGCACTGCCAGTGCTTTAAAAGATGTCACACGTAGCAGTCAACTTTGTCGACGTGCAAATCTAAAAGTCCCTATACTGACGCAGGGATGACGCACATAATAACGCAATCAAAATGATGCCCCGTGTGCAAGACGACTGGCATAAATTCATACTTACTACTGCTCGCCAATGACGATCCACTAGATGATGACTGGCCAGACTGGGTATAGATGTTTATCGGCTGCCCAGATCCAGTCTCGCCCCCTGATTGATTCAAGCTGATTATGCCGAGAACCAAAGCGACGATGCTCACGACAGTCAAACAGCAGACCAGTATCACGGTCAAGAGGTTCCTATCCTGGGCCATAATAGTTAGATGTATGCGAACTTCAAGATCAGGGCCAAAAGAAATCCGGTTGTGTCCTAGCTAGCGAGCTGCAATCTAGGTTGCTCAACACTCAAGTGCCGAACAGGTACGCCAGTGCAGCAAGATAAATCGTTCATATTCTTGCATTAATATTATCGGCTTCATCATCTCATTTTATTGTCTTTCCAGGCCAGTAGCTCAGAATAGATTTTTTTCGGAGAAAGGTACCCGTTGGTAAACACGTTTTGCTTTGATGATTTACTATGCATTTGGTTGGGATGATATGCCAGACGTCGCGTCGTCTCTCCTATAGGTTGAGTCCGCCACCTCAGCTTTATGTCATTGAGTCGTCATCTTCCACTCAACGCACAGTCAGCGGCTTTGACGCACCACAATGACATCGTACCCAACGTTTACCGATAGAAAATAGATCTGCCTTGATTTATCTAGGCATGCGATAATCACCTTCATAGGTTTTTTCAGTTTAGAATATGTTGGTCCATTAGATATTTTCTTCTTTATGGGTTTCTGTTGGTCCATTAGATTTTTTCTATAGGTTCCTGTTGGTCCATTAGAGATCTTCCTATGGGTTTCTAATGGTCCCACATTCTGAATTCCCTATTGAAACCAATATAGGCATATTGGTTTATAGTGGTTCAATATTACGTTGGCTTCTATTGGTAAATCAATAATGATAAATCAAAAATCGAATTTAGCAACTGTACACCAAAAAGGTATATTCAAGTGTCAATTGCATTAACTCCATCACAAAGATCATTTGAAGTGAGTTTAAGAATATCCTTTATTTAACTAATGGCTTGTACTATTCTATATAATAAACATACATGTAGTTTCTTGGTTAGTAATCATTATAATCAATATATCTATTGCTAGAACGTGAATGTACTTGTAACATGGTCAGACAAATCATCTATTGGTCATTAGTTGCCGAGAGAAAATAAAAATCACAAAATTGATGTGCATTGTCATCAGTTACTTAACAATAAGTAGATAAGTTTAGCTGTTGGTTTCTATTGGTTTATATTAGACCTATTGGTTTCTATATTTCTTAATTATATTGGTCATATTGGTTTATATTGGTCCCATTGGGTTATATTGGTCTCATTGGTTTTCTATTGGTCCTATTGGTCCTATCTGTCATATTGGTTTCTATTGGTCCTATTGGTTTATATTGGTCTTATTGGTTTCTATCGGTCCCTTTGGGTTCTAATGGTCTCATTGGTTTTCTATTGATCCTATTGATCTTATTGGTTTCTATTGGTCCTATTGGTTTCTATTGGTCCTATCGGGAACATTTTTAGCGTTTACTAGAACGACGTCTATGGGCTTGACGAGACCGAAGGCTCACTAAAATGGCGTCAGTCTCGCAAGCCTTCTGGTCCCTTTTCACAGACTTCATTATAACGACGCCCTGAGATGCCTACAGCCGACTAGAACAAATAGTCGGCCTCGCGAGCCTTCTAGCCACTTTCCAATTCGGGTTCACTACAACGACTGCCTATACAGGACCGATATTTTCTGTGTTTTCTTATGTATTTCCTTGTTTTTGTCGGTCCTGTGGGCTGTCTTCTCATGGGCTATTATGTCGAGGATCATTGGAAATTATTTTAATTCCTTGTCTGTCTCATTGGCTGTCCGTCTAGTACGGGTGTAAGTCTAGTGCACATGCTTGTCTTGTGTTCTGTTGAACTACTGGGATGACATAGCAGTCCCCAATCCACTGCATCGCAAGCCTGTTTAATAGAAGCACAAATGTAAACATGTTTTTGACAAACAGCCCGAACTGAAATGCCTATCTTCCCCATAAAGAGACAAACCTAACCCTTTTCATTTCATTTATTCATCATTGATAACAAGAATGAATAGAGCTAGCTCAAAAGGGGGGAAGGTTCCCATGGATGTTTGTCTCTAACCCGCTGTTTCTATTCACCCCATGAGGTATACGGTGCGTTAAGAAAAAGTGTATTCAACTTTGGTAGCTTCTAACTACAAAGTTAAGACATATGTGACTTTGAAATCTATTTCATGAAGAAAAGTGAATTGTTTTCTCTTAAATGATACCTTATTCATAATGATTTTGCTACGGGTGACTGGTGAGCAACAAAATCTTTAAAAATTGTTCTCAAAATTGCTTGTATTTGGTATTTGATACCTGATGATTTTGATAATACTTTTTTATAGTCATAGTACACGACAGCACAATTATGAACATGGTATTTTTAGACAGGGTATTAGTTACTCTTTAACATGAAATAGATTTCAAAGTCATATTGATTACGACCTTTTAATTAGGAGCTACCAAATTTGGGTTCACTTTTTTGTTTACGCACTGTATACCTGTTTTACCCAGGCACCTGCTGCAAAATTCATGAAAAGCATAATTCGGTCATGATAATCATGGTTTCTCAGCCATTGAGGCTTTGGTTTCACGCCTCATATCTGCTTTTGTATCGGTAGACAAAGAAAGAAAATTGGAATCTGTTATTGTCAAGCACAGTCGACTTGCTAAACGTAGAAGGAATACAGAAAAAAAAAGTTGACATTCAAAGACATGCTCCCCAAGGCCTCTGCACACAATAGGAGATGAGTTTGCAAATTTGTTTGAGAATTTGAAGGTACCTGGAATCAAAAGTACTATCTGACCTTTATTGTGCAAAGACAGGAAATTATTGAAGATCGTATACAAAATAATGTAAAAAAAGCATCGACATTTGGAGAAGTAGATTACCAAGTGCATGTATATGAAGGAAATAAGTTTTGCTTCTTTCTTTTCTTCTGCTTTTTGTTGTTGTTTGTTTGGTTTGGTTTGGTAAGTGTGTGTGTGTGTGTGTGTTTGTGTGTGTGTGTGTGTGGGAAAGATCGAATTAAGAGATTAATATTGTATCAAGGTTATAATGAAGGAGGGTTACGAATGACTAATTTTGACTCGTTTGTAAAAACCCAACGGGTAATGTGGGTGAAAAGACTATTGTACGGAGAGAAATCTATGAGATGGAAGCTATACTGATTTCTACTGCAAGATGGTAGGGGCCAGGGGGTAGAATTATTTGTTTGTGTAACTATGATTCCAGGTTATTAAGTTTCTCATCTCCTCTCCCTACAATGATAAATAAACTGACAGAATTAGGTTACTAAGCTTACATCAAAATTCCACATAACTGTCCTCCATTTTGCATTGGTTGTAAAGGTTGAAAATATGTCGCCACTAGCTACACCAGATCCAATAAACCATTTCGTAATGCAACCTGATGTAATGCACACGTCTTTTGTGAAGTGCCACAATACAAGTAGTTTATTCGTCTGTGATTTATAATTGTATTTCAATAGTTAGAGTGCAAATTGCATATATTACGTGTTGCTAGGTAGGGCAAGCAATAATGTTTGTCCTATATGTCTTCAACCAATGTATGCTGTTCATATTCTGACTATCGAAATACAATTATTCGTAACATGAATGAGACCCGGCCCCCCCCCCCACTCAGTGTTATTTAGGGTACGCATATGCGTGTTCCAACCGACCCCCCCCCCCTTTTCAGCAAAAGTCCGGTGTGTAAAGTCAATACGGCTCGACCTTTTTCTTTTGTATACGAGCCTTTTTCAGCATCCCCCCCTTTTCAGCAAAAGTCCGGTGTGTAAAGTCAATACGGCTCGACCTTTTTCTTTTGTTACGAAAAGGACATTTTGGCAACACGCATGCGGTCATTTTGAAACCTGAGCGGGGGGCCGGGGAATGAGATAATTCGTATCGAAGCATTTTACAAAGACGTTTGCATTAGATTTGGTGACATTATGAAAATTGCTTTTGACCGACAGATTGACAAGTTTTCAACCATCATTACTTAATTCTTTAGTCGGGGGCAGACATTCTTCAGCTGGATCCAACGAATGCTTTGAGATACTTGCATAAGTTAGAATAATTGTAAACAAAATGTCAGGAATTTCCTTGAGAGTTGTCAAAAGCTGTTGTATAGGTTATTTCTTAAGACTTCAGCATAAGTCCGGTGTGTATTAAAGTCAATACGGGCAGATCTTTTTCTTAGTTACGAGCTGGAGATTTTGGGAACATGCATGCGGTCCCTCCGTTCCCGGAGTGGGGGGGGGCACAAGGATCCGTCATATTTAAAGTAGATATTCATTGATTTTAAAAACTAACTTTATTTTCATTATTGCAAAGTTGAAACTTTAATTCGAGAAGGTTATCAAAATTCAATGCTTGGAAACATTCGAAGTAATGATTATTATAAATTACAAAACGCTTAAATACAGCCCCGGCATATCACCTGAAGAGCTCTCCGAACGCTGCTGAGATGTGTGAGATCACAGTATGGACACGACTTGCACAAGCAGACGATATCCCATGACATCTCACACATTTTCAGTGCCTGTGTTTTCATCTTCTCTCGAGTTCTTTCTCTTACTTCACTACCGTCAGGCTAAATTATAATCTATTACCTCACTCTAATCCCCGCGCATAGTTTTATTTTGATGACAAAATTAACGCAGCGATACAAAAATAAAGGAATCTGTCGCCTGTAAACAAAATAAGACGCCATTGTATATTCAGCTGCACACACCGGGGTATGTTCGGCGTTTCAAGAGGGAACAAATGCCGTTCTTAATATCATTCCGGGGGTTTTCAATTTGAAAGTCTGGTTTCTTTGATTGTTAATTAACCCCTATCTTGTGTATTTACAAGCAAAAGATTTTAGTTATCAGAATCGGGTCATATCCCCCTTTGAATGGTTTGACATGCCATTACATTTATATACACTAAACTCATTATAATTTGAGAAATAATAGCTTTGCAATTATGTTCATTCTCTATGGGATGTCGTCTGCTTGGGCTGTGTTGGTCCATATAGTGACGTCATTAAAACATCGTTATTTTTCCGGCAAATCTCTCGTATATCCCAGCTGCTATGGAGGTGGCTGCATTTGTATTTTTCTTAATCACCCGATATGTAGTTGACCTAAGCCTTGTACGATGGCCATCTGTTACCTTACCAGTTTCTAATGATACATTAGTTGACATATTTGTGATCTTCTTTGAATTTCACCTTTAAAGTATTCAAAGAAAGACACGATGTAGACGAAACTTGGCACATAACTGAGACGAATATACATTGAGAAAGAACACCCTTTCCTTTTGGTGACACTATTTTATTGAGTTATCCCGATATTCATAAGAATTTTAAACATTTCATCGTACATGCACATATGACGCATGTGTATGCACATCAAAACGCGGTAAAAAAATAACTGGATCGTCCCAAATTACTCTAAATTTTGGTATTCCCGAAATATTCTACTTTTCG